TGACCATGGCCAGTTCGTCCAACGCGACTGATTCGCCGTTGATTACTTTCTTGAATGCCGAAGAAGCCTTGTTGAAGAGCTTCATGGAAGACTATCGGTTCACGCGTTTGATGTGGTGTGAGCATTTCTTTGTCGAATCAGGGACGTTTTCAATTGCTGAGGCAGTCCGCAGCGCTCTCGCTTACGATTCTACTGTATGACTGGAGTGTGTGGTGCATGCTTGTCTTATGCCGTCGTGGTGTTGATTTGTGTCTGTTTCAGTGTTGACATTTGCAGATGAGGTATGGAAGCGAGTCGTAGGATTCATAAGCTTACCTCATGACCGTATACGAGCAGGTCAGATACATCTGGCAAGGGAAATTCGCCTGGACGAAGATTCTGTTTTATTGGGTGAGTCTAGTGTATGCAACGTCGCACATCTCTGATTGTCACTGAGACACTCCCATTTATTAGAACCGATATTGGTGGTAAGTGCATGATCGCTCTTGCTGTGCTGCCCTGAAAACCGATCGTTGCGCCCGCATAGTATATTCAACCTCACGTGTGTCCATTCCCTTCAATCGTCCATCCAGACACCGTACTCATATCTTCGCAGATTCGATAACATCGGTGCGTTCGTATCTGGAGAGGAAAACGTAGACTGACCATTCGCTAGTCCTTGCTGTCGCACACAACTCAGACACAAAGGTACGAAACTCATTGATGCACGCATATGAATATACGCATGACACACAGAATAGTTGTAGGTCGCCCAATGCCATTGGACTGTTGTAATGTACATGGCTGAACGCACACCAGCTGCAACCGTTGGTTGAACTTCTTGGTCTATGGTTCAATCCCATTCGAGGTAGCCATATGCAGTGCGTGAAGTCGATGTGAACCGAGAACACACTAATGAACGATGTTCAGCGGTCTACATCATGCGCCTGTACGCTTTGTACGGATGCAATCGGAGAATCCTCATTTTTCTATGTGTGTACTACGTAGGGGTTCTCACCAGCGAAACTACCATCATAAGTATGGTCGCCCGTGACGCTGTATGTAAGTCAGAGTATTCGCTCATATGCCATGACGAAACTGTTCTGAATACCTGTTGTAGTCGTATCTTTACCAGGTCCCTTACAAGACCTCACGGGCTGCCTCCCATCGGGCATCAAACCTTGGGCATGGACCTTCTGGTTGCCGATGCTGACATTCGAAACTCTACTATTATGCCTTTCGCTCTTCAGATCGGCTCAGCTGGTGATCGAGGACAGGCGTCCTAAGATTATATATGTCCTGTTGCGAGACTCGGTGGTATACTTCGGTGGCGTTGTGTTGACCATTGTTGCAAACGTGGTTGGCTGGAATGTGGGCGGTGTATGTTTATCAGCCACTCGAGTCATCTACCTACTCTAACGCCTTTTCTTACAGGCCGGACTTTTCGCAGCTTTCTTCCCGTGAGTCGAACGTAGAATACCTCCCATAATGCCAGTGGCCTCACTCTCACGGACTTTCAGATTGGCGATGATGGCTTTCTCCGTATTGGGTTCAAGATTGCTTGTGAGTCTATCCCCAAACTCCGTGTGCTTGATTAATAGTACATCGGGCTCATATTGTGCGTAGCTCAACATGCACGATGCCGTTGACCCTTCGAACCGAGTCCTACTAGGAACGTACGCTGGTGATCAGTCTACGAATATGGCTGTCGGTCTACCCACCCATGACACAGCATCCATCCAATTTCGAGGGAATAGCGCAGTCAACTCGGAGGCCATATCAGATGCAGATATTGAGCTTTCCGACTTCTGAAACTCTGGATGATGTTGAATGGCATCGCTCTCCTTCTGAAACCATGCAGTTTATCTCTTCGCAGATGTTTAATATTACTGGCATCGATCAATGTTATTAGCTTCTCTCGCAAAGGCACCAATGTTCCGTAGCATGAGAGCTTTGAGATCGACGTGCGGTTGCTACATTGTCCGAATTAAGTCTCTAAACATACCGAAGCAGGAGTTGCTCCGTCGCAAGTCGATAATAATGCCGCAGTACGGTCATACGGGACGTTTCGGACGCATTTGAATAAGCGATGCGACGTCGCAGGAGGTCGAGGGCCAACGAGCTCTGGAATTGCACACCGCAACGGACCGAACTACTTATGCATGGACATGATTCGCATCTGCAGCGCACGCGAAATGAAGGCCCGTCCAACGCGGTATGAAGGCCCCCTCGAACTCATTCTGCTTTCGTCCCAACCGGCTCCGAGTTTACGCGGTCGCGTTGCTTCCTCACACCATTGGACAGTGTTGATCTCTGTCGCCCGGTGGGGGCTCTAGCAGCGTAGAGGTGGCTCGCCTGCTTCAAGCGTATCACATGGATGTACGCGCCGTCGTGCCGGTGTATACATTCCGTCCAACGTAGTCTCGCCACAACACCCTCCACGTTCACGTGGGGGGTCTGTGTCGAACCTACCATCCAACGTGTGCGTGACCTTTAGCATGTATGATATATTCGTATTCGTTGGTGCACCGTCTGCGCAACGAAAGGACTGTAGCTTGTACAACGCGACGAGAGACGTACTGATACACACGAGAAGACGGGTTCGAACTGTACAGATAGGTACGGGCTTGAAACTTCCATCTCTGCGATTCTCGACGTGCTCCGCCTCGAGGTCGTCCTCCTGTTCCACCACGCTACTGGTATTGACAGCTAGCGGACGCGTGCGCATGCGAGAAAATGTGGAGGAGCCAGGCCAGGTCGACAATGGCGGCGGGACCTAGGTCATCCCCAGGCAACCGCGTGAACTCATGTCGAGTGGCCTGCGGTACCGCTACGACAGGCGGGCACAGTCGAGGGATGTTGGTGTTGGGAGGAGATACGCACAACGTCCGTCTCCGTATGAGCGGCTCGCTGCTCCTCCGTCACGAAAGAGCGAGGGAAGCACTCGATGCAGCGCGGCACATACACAGAGGGTCAAGGACGGGACCTACGATGTCTGCGCCGCCTGCGCTGAGCTTTTGCTGTACTTCGGTTGAAGGCATATAGGGAGATGGGTAGCATGAAAGGCGTGTCGCTGTAGGCCCCGCGGTGGCCTGCTGGATAGTGCGCTGTTCGCCAGTGGAAAGGACGCGTCCATCGACGCGGCAAGTAGGTCGCGCGACTCTCGTGGCCTTTGCAGGAATGGCATCACCGTACGTCGAGCATCCATTTAGCGCCAGCAAGCAACGCATGTGCCGCATGTATGACGTTCACGAGCGATACCAGCATGGTCATGGAACGAGAGGGGAAGACTCGGGCTCGTGGAAGGAAAGAACGCGTCCGGCGTCGCCTCGCCTCATCTCCGAAGACACCGTCCATCGCATCACCAGTGAGCTTGACGAGCACCTGGCCACTTGAGTCAACGCCCCTTAGTCTGGTAGTCGTGTAGACGGCGAGTTGTTATCCAGGATTTCTTGGAGGACGGCGCCAGCGATTGTGCCCATAACTAGTGTCAGAAGACGTCGCACGTCGCCGAGCCCGAGCGGTCGCACACAGGAATCCAGGCGAAACCGTCGCCCTAGGTGGCGACCGGTCGTCCATAAGGAGCGTCGTGAAAGCACTGTGAAGCGTCCCAATCATATCGAATACATGTGACGTGGATCCTGGTCGTCGCGATACAACCAAGCGGCTTGACGTTAGCGGTCGACTTCCGCGACGGCTTCGTATGGAGCACCTTGCGGATATGCTTGGGTGCGTGAACCGCGCGAGGGGTGTCATCCAAGGGCCCGTCTGTTTTCGGAAACCGCGCACTCTCTTCCGGGTAGCCGGGAATGCTGCGTGCCGCGTATGGCTTCACTCTGAGATCCACTGGCAAATCGGTCCGAAGTCGTTGTCAACGCGAGAGCAGTGTCAAGCATCATATGGAGTGCGGAGGCTTGATCGGTAGATGGGGGTAGCGTGGCGGTAGACGATGTCTTCGGATTTTGGAGTCACCCCAGTAACCACTGAGGGTGCCCACTTGATTTGTGTATGGTACAACACGCTTGGCAGGACTCCACAGCGCTGCGTAATACGACCATCGCGGCTACGGAAGCACGCGTTTCCGATTGCTGGACGTGCGGACCAGAGTCTCGCGGGCAGGCGTAGTCGACCACTGTCGACGCGGGATGGCGCCTTAGACCCATCTACACGGCGGCGCTGACATTGTCTTGGACGAACAGCACGAGGCGGTTACTTTATAAGCTATGAGAGAAAGTCAGTCGAAGACTGGAAGATGTGAGACGATGCGCGTGCAAAACATACGTTTTCACGCCTCCGACTCCATGATGGACAGTTTCCCTATTCCTGCTAGTGACATACGGCGTGCACCTCTTAGTAGAAGGGCGAATGATGCAACAATGACCGTGGTAGGCTGAATCGGACGTCTATGAAGGTTTTCAGTCCGACGCCAGGGACAGCGAATGTTCGGAATACCTTTGACCTCGCCTGGCCGTCATTGAGATCATGTCCAACGATACCAACAGCTTCTGGTGCCACGGAACGCAATTCAGTCTCAGACCACAAAGGCATAGGCATCTGGTGACTTACCCGTGTATCCCGCTCAGCCTCTATTCCTGTCACTCAACAATCGCTCATCCGCTCTCTGGTACTTAGGCTCCGGGTGGCAGCATTGCAACGTGGATACGCGTTTGATGATGCAATAGAACAGATGAGCATGCCGGAAGACGGCTGTTCAAACCGCAGGAGATATACGGCGTTGAACTGGTGAGGAGCGCGAATCAGAGTGTGAAGCCGCCGGTCTCAACATGGATAGCTTCAATGATAAATTGACCAAGGGAGAGCGGACCCCATCACGGGTTGGTAGCAATCAGTGTAGCGTGCGATTACGCGATTACTCGGTCAAGAGGGAGAGGAGAAGAGGAGGAAGGAGGTCGGGTCTTGTTCGAGGAGACTCGGATTCGAGGGCCGCTAATTCTCGCTAATTAGATCTAGCGCACATGACGTTTTAGCGCCGTCATTCGACCCCATCGCCTATCGTGACTATGGCCTACCACTCTTGGTTTCCCGCATTACTACTCGGCGAGGATTTTGGAGGTACGTTGCAGGAATTGAGGCTTCAGAGTACGCTGAGTCGAAGACAGTTTGACTCTGAGAGGCGTCTGCTCCTCCGCGCGCCCCTGGATGGCCGGCACTCTTCCAGGATGGCCTTTCCAGTGAACGAATGTTCGTCCTTCCCTCGCATGCTTGCTCAACTCTGTTGCCTTTATTTCCATATCTGTGGCTGACTCTGCTCGTGATCAGACTCGGACTTCGCGCGCTGGCTCCATGTCGAGGGTATTGAGATTGAGAATAAACCGTTTCGAGAATATCGGCTACAATCAACGAAGGGCAGCGCACCTAGGCCTCCTCCGACTGTGTCGCCCTGCTCCGGGCTCGGTGCGCCTGACATCGGGATCGTGTTTTGCTCGAAGACCATCATTCTCGTCCATCTTGATCTCGACCCAAGACTGTCAGTCGCTCCTCTGTCCTCCAGTTTGTGAAGCTGAAGACGGAGCTTCCAGCTGATCCTCCCAACGAAGGAGGGTATCGACCACCACTGGACGAGCAAGTCGACCCGGGTGTCGTGCGTAGTCTCACGCCTTACTTCTATGTCTCGCATTCACCCACGTCGTAGCTGACAGGCGAAGAAATGGAGACGTTTTGACGGCGCCATGTCTAGAGCGAATAGTATTCAAGATGCCCCCCACGCGAGTGTCGTCGCACACACGTACGATTATCATGACACTGGTGGAGCGTGGGTCGGACTTATCAACGGGATAAGTTACGATCTTCACTCTGAAAGCTGAGCTTCACCCATGCTTCGTTTCCTGGTTCCTGTGCAGATGCTCTATAGGTGCTATCGGCGGTGTCACTTTTGATATCATTTATATTTGATCTGACATGTTGTTATAAAGGTCTCCTCATGGTGAGGGCGTAGGACACGGCGTGCTGGGACGACTATTTTGTTGATGTTGCTGATGATGTGGCGGCCCGGGGAAGGGACTTGCGCCGAACCTAGGGATGGACTGTGTTGGTAAGTCTCAATCTATCTGGCCGTGGATGGCAGTCTGAACATACGCCTGTCGAGAGTCATAGCTCAGTTATAGGCCAGAGGATGGATTCCTGATTGACTTCAAATCAGACCTCATTTGGCAGGCCACGATCTCCTTCGGTGCGCTCAATGGGAACTTAGCATATTCTCGGCTTTAACAAACAGCGTTTCTCAGGAAGCCGCAACAACGAGGAGCCACGTACCTACTCAGACGACCCGCTCCTCGACATCATCTTCAGTACGTTGTTGTGGCAGACAAACAAGGTCTTGGTGTAACTTCTACTAGCATTCTCCACTCGTGAGCCCCTGGCGCGTGTAATGTGCGTCAGCGTTAGCGTTCATTGTCCAGAAGACAGCTGCTACATCCATGATGATCCAAGAGGCTCCGACTCCATATCTAACCAACATGCGATCTCACGTACTCGCTGGCGCAGGTAATGCTCTGGCCTTGTATCCGCTCGACAAAGGGTCTGCATACGTGACAAGAAAATCACACAGGTATTCGATGCAATGCCATATGAATATACTGTACAGGAGACGAGTTACTTGAATACCAGTCATCGAGAATCGAGTGCAGTACGACTCCAAGCCCGTAACAGCTCGCGGAACACGTGGATGTCTTGGTCTATTGTACACTAGGCAGGAGGTTCGCCGTATGTCCCTACGCCAACGCTTCAAGATAAGCCTGGATGGCTTTTTCCGGGTCATCCCAGTGCATCTGTTGGCCAGTCAGGGGGGAGAACGGGCTTTGTTCAATGTATACGCACGAAATGGTTGACACCTGGAATCATCTTGTAGTTGACGAAGCCGCCGCCGCGTTCCTTGTCCTCGTCTTGGATCGTCCAGAACGACGCGATAGAGAACGAGGGGGTAACATCTCCCGTCAAGGACCATACCTTCAGCTCTGGGAGCCGGGCACGCACGTCGCGATCGAAACACGCCCTGCGGTACATGGCGAGAGCTTGCGCCATGGTACAAAACATGGCTGGGCCCTCCGGGACTTCCTCTACGAACTCCTGACGATCTTCGGGGGACATGGCGTAAATCGTCGGACGGCGTGACACGGAGGGGACGATATAGGAGAGAACGTTCGTGTCGCGTGTTGAGAGGTCCCCGTGGTCGAAGTACGACGTGATCCACTGGGTGAAGAACGGTTCATGACACTTCTCGGGGATGGAGGGATCGATCTGCGGCGACCAGGTGCCCGGGGGAAGCGGCATGCCAAGGCAGAGAGACGGTGGTTCTTCCAGCAGGAGTCAGATGTGCGAGGCACCACCATCTGGAGAGATACATACCTTGTAGAATCAACGCGCGCATGTACGATGCGAGCCGTTTCTGCGCAGCCGGAGGCAGCCTATCGACGTATGCCACGGCGGACAGCGTGGACACATTCCCTGCGGACCAACCCAGCAGACCCACACCGCCGCCCTTGCGATCAACGGCGATTGGAGGTATGTTGTGTTTCTGGATAAAAGCGTCGATGAAGCTTGCTATTTCGAGGCCTCTGTTGGCAATGTATGTCGCCTTGTCTTCGTCAGACCCCGCGAGTGGTGCAGTTGCCTCTGCTTGGGTCAGGGGGGTAGAGCCGGTGTAGCCACGTCGGTTTATGGCAACGACGCGAAGGTTCGAGGAGTGCGCCAAAGCCTGTATCTTCTTGAAGATGGCTGAAAGTCGCGTAAGGACCCAGGCAGGCGGCTGGTGTTGGACAACTTACGCCCGATGAAGCCCATGCCGTGGACCATAAACAACGTGATATACGGGGTTGAGCTGGTACTCGGAGGAGCACCGCTATCAGTATAGCGGAGCTCGATGCCCTGGTCGTTGATGACGAGAGAGGACATGACGAGCGGGGCGACGATGGGAGATTGAGGACGCGACTGACGATTTCGCAACTGGTTACGAAAGGCGGACAGGATAGGCATGCGGATAGGATCTTTGTAGCAGAAGGGAGACGCGGTTTATACAACGGCTGGACTCTGCAACACTGTCACATGGAGATCACGTTTACGATGCTGCATAGAAAAGGAACTCGATGACCATAAGGACAGGCCGTGGTATTCGGAGCATGGCGTATTCAAATCCGCATCGCTGTCGTTCGGATGTGCCATGGAATGGGTACCATGCGTGGCTGCGTTTACCTAACAAGGAGCTGGGCCGTGATTGGTACCAGACATGCAGTAGCTCTCGTATGTAGGTTTCCCAAATCCCAACTGGAGCCTGCTGTCGGCTCCGATTCCCTTGGAAGCGATGGTCATCAACTCTCCGGAAGAACATAGCCGCATCTGAACCTACGTATCAGCGCGCGGACAGATATAATGGTGGATTCGAATCCTTCCTCGAGTTGATCTGTTACGGAGCGGAGCAAGAGGGGATTCCATTAGACAAGCTTCCATCTTGGGCGTAAACTCTGTTCGATGTTCTCCGTTTCTACATAACCCGTCACATGTCACACCCAATTCTGGGGAATGGAAGGACCGTTGGCACCGCCGCCTCCGAATACGGATTACTTACCCATCCTCCGCGGTCACGCGCCAGTGACTACACATGACCGTGGCTCATCATGTCAATACGTGTTTGAGGAACTACGGTGGTATTCGACGATGAATGTTGCGTTGATTCCTGGGGATCTCCCAGTGGCTGCACGCTAGCCCAGTTACATTAACGCGATGATCGTTTCGGCAGTAGGACGAGAGGTTGTCCACCGCAGAATGCTTCGATAGGACGCCACAATTTCAATTGCAAGTCATCTCATGGTTGACAACTTCCATCATACTGACTTCCGCCGACGTGTATGCACGGAGTTGTCTTCTTACCTTCCATTTCTCATCTGCGGTTGAGCGTGGCCATTCATGGCTGTGCGCACGTACCGGGCCTGGGGCCTAGGTTTCATCAACCGAATAGGCCGGATGATTGTGTACATGCCTTATCCATCACACCCAACTTGAAGGCCGTGTAGGGTGCCATGGATCCGGATGAGCCCTGAGAGTGCGCATACCTGTCATTGACAGGAGGCGTTGTTTCGGGCTGAACTAGAGGATGATCCGAGTCGACGGGGAGAGCGGTACGATTCAACGCTGAGTCGTGTTTACGCAATGCAGGGAGCCAACCATGTGTGCGTAGAACACTAGCATATCAACATCCTACCTCCTACATTACTTGGGGGCAGTATCAACAATGCCAACACGGAAGCATAGTTCTATAGCATACCGTATCTCACAAACGGGCACCTAGCCGAGTTGACGACACATTACTGATGCATACTAAACCCCCAATGCATGCGCGATGAAATGAAGTCGAGATGAGACAGGCGAGCGGTGAACGATCCCGATTGGGAAATATCCATACTACTTGAACGTCGTTCGCTATATGACCAAGCCCTACGCTAATGCTTCGAGATAGGCCTGAACGGCCTTCTCAGGGTCATCCCAGTGCATCTTCAGTGCGTCAGTCAGTAGGTTGAACAGTGGCTCGTCGATGCCTACGCACGAAGTGATTAACGCCTGGAATCATCTTGTAGTGAACGAAACCTCCTCCGCGTTCATTGTCATCATCTTGAATCGCCCAGAACGCCGCGATAGAAAAGGAGCAGGTAACATCCCCTGTCAGGAACCATACATTCAGCTCTGAAAGCTGCGCACGCGCGGCGCGATCGAAGCACGCCCTGCGGTACATGGCCAGAGCTTGCGGCATGGTAGAAAGCATGATTGCGCTCTCGGCTACTTCCTCGACAAACTCCCGCCGATCGTCGTCGGACATAGAGTAGATGGACGGACGGCGTAGAATAGAAGGCACTACATAGGACAAAACGTCCGTATCGCGCGTTGAGAGGTCCCCGTGGTCGAAGTACGACGTGATCCACTGAGTGAAGAATGATTTATGCCATTTCTTTGGGATGGATGGAGAGAGACCCGGTGACCATGTCCCTGCTGGAAGAGGGATGCCCAGAGATCCAGAAGGCGGTTCTTCGCTCAATAATCAGACGGGCGACTCAACAAACTTTTGAGCTACAATACCTTGCATAACTAACGCGCGCATGTACAAAGCGAGCCGTTTCTGCACCTCCGGGGGCAACGCGCCGACGTGAGCCACAGCGGAAACCGTAGACACGTTCCCAGCGGACCAGCCAAGAAGGCCTACACCACCGCCCTTGCGACCAGCGGCGATGGGAGGTATGTTGTGTTTCTGGATGAAGATGTCTATGAAACTTGCTATCTCTATCCCTCTGTTCGCAATATACGCCGCCTTGTCTTCGTCGGAGCCGGTTAGAGGAGCAGCGGCTTCTTCCGGGGTGAAGGGGGTAGATCCCGCATACCCACGTCGGTTTATGGCAACGACGCGAAGGTTCGAGGAGTGCGCCAAAGCCTGGATTTTCTTGAAGATGGCTGAGTATAGCGTGAGTATCGAGGTAAGAGGATAATGTTGAGTAACGTACGCCCCGTAAAGCCCATACCATGGACCATGAACAACGTCATGTAAGGGGTCGAGCTGGTATTTGGAGGAGCACCGCTATCAGTGTAGCGGAGCTCGACGCCTTGATCGTTGATGACGAGGGATGTCATGGCGCGCAGAGCAACTGGAACGAGAACGCGCCTTGAAGCCGCGCACACGGAGGTCAGTTGTAGTGTATAGATCGATACGAGCACGGATTCAAGACCGTACCAGGCGTGTATGTGGAGAGAATTGGGCCTAGTGTACGAAGTCAGTGAACAGCGAGATAGGATGTGGTCACGGTGATCTAACCTTCCTCTTTCGGTGATAATTGCCTACTTCTCAACAATGCCCACCTCGCTCTCGGATATCTCCCGGCTGATAAGCTCTTGATACGGGTATCGTATCGCGTAGCTAACGAGATCAGTTAGCCCTGTCCCCGCATACCACGCAATTTACCATTGCTACCACCGTCCCCTTTCCTCGTTAAGGTAATCATCCCCTCCACCTCTCCCTTGCCCAAGTCCGGTATCCCTCGAGCAGCGCACGTGCTACGTGGCTGAGGGCGCTTCCCTCAAGATCACGGATCTCTCCCGATCCCCGGGCGTCGCGCCCGACGTTCGGTAAGCCGACGCCACGCCCGCTGAGCTCGCCGCCACCGCGCACGGGCCCATCGCATCGCGCTCACCGTCGACGACCATGGCGAGCCCGTGCGGAGATCGGGTCCGCGTTGACTCTGACGCGCGGCTGGGTGGCGCGTGCCCGAGCCTCGCGGGCACTCCCACGGTCGTTGATCGGGTGATTCCCACGCGCGCTCGCCACCGCGTCCGGCGCTGTGCTCGCTGTCGGCGACGACGAGCACGAATATCTCGCTCCCCTCTCCGTTTCTCGTCGCGATCTTTTGGATCATACATTTAGTAGTGATACTTACACTGTATATAAGCTTACCAAGTGTATACAATGTGTTGTTACCTCGGAATAGTATGACTATCTCCCCAGTGATACCTACCCAGTACCCATCAATAGAGCGGCCAGAAGTGAGAATAATATGGTCTGATGAGCTCTAGAGAACTGCTATGATTATCCACAAGCAATAAATAGTGTTTGATGAAGGATTACTGGCCCCAAAATGCGAAACTTCGCCACAAGGGGGCATGCATAACATCACAACCACTCCACTGTAGCTCATGAAAGCTCTACCAGTATGTTGCAAGCACATTCATGTACGTTTTTGTGTATACTCACAGTATCAGGACTAGTATATGTGCCTCAATGTTATGAGAATGTTCACATGTACAAAAAGCATATTCATTCATTTGGAGCCTCTACATGCATCCAGACATTATGAATACTTCTCAGAATGTACATTTGCATCATATCTGTATGTGCTTACACCTACAATACATTTCTGAGACGAGATGACAAGGGCATGCATTCAATTGGCTATAGGGGGCTACAGGAAGGAGAAGAACATATCACATCATCTCCTGTGGTTGGATTGTCTCCAAACATGGTATGCAATATGTGTTGTATATCTAAATGCTATATGTGAAGTCTCTTGGGGATTGGACAAGCAGGAGGTCGTGTAGAGCGAGACGAACATCGTCTCGGGCAGTTCGGGGACATGCCCGAAGCGGTGCCCGAGTGAACATCGCTCGAGTGCATTGCACACTTAACGAGCATACGGGCGCTTTCACGCCACTACGACCACTTCTGCATACAGACCCCCTGGCTGTCACCTCATTGACTCCAAACAGCTTCGGACAAATACTAACATTATTGTACCATTAGTGGGTCCTATTTCCGTTTTATCCGATGCCAATAAAGGACGAGGTGCACGATTCCGACTCACTCCTTTTCTCAGCCACTAGGTCAGCCACCAGTGTGAACATCATCGCATCGCAAGGTATGCATATAATCCTGTTATGATTTAGTACCCTAGCATTGTTGGTTAGCACTAATAGATGCTAAAACATCGAAGATCTGTGTATAGACATGCATTAGCTGCTGTGCAACAGAGCCAGCCATATGTGTAGCATCCCACCTACATTTGACCTCTATCACCCCCAGTTGCTGCAGATACCGTACAACAAGTAGTGAGTAGGCATAGATGCATTCCATGAGTATATTAGTACTATTTGTCTGAGTACCAGTACATTGGTTGAGGTGTTATACATGGCCACTTATGGCGGAGTTTTCACTTACAGGGCAGGACAACTTGCTCATAGTATTGAAAGACTAGTTGTGTATCATGATAGCAGTAGTAATAAGTATAAAAGAGCACATTTTGCTCGCTTTTGACCGCTCTATCCGTGCATAATGCCGAGGCATGATTGGATGTAAAATCATACAATTCCGAGGTAACTACTGATTATATATACAGTGGAAGCCTATATACGGTGTTCAATTTGATACTATATGTATGTAGCACGAAATCACGACGAGAAACGGAGAGGGGAGCGAGATATTCGTGCTCGTCGTCGCCGACAGCGAGCACAGCGCCGGACGCGGTGGCGAGCGCGCGTGGGAATCACCCGATCAACGACCGTGGGAGTGCCCGCGAGGCTCGGGCACGCGCCACCCAGCCGCGCGTCAGAGTCAACGCGGACCCGATCTCCGCACGGGCTCGCCATGGTCGTCGACGGTGAGCGCGATGCGATGGGCCCGTGCGCGGTGGCGGCGAGCTCAGCGGGCGTGGCGTCGGCTTACCGAACGTCGGGCGCGACGCCCGGGGATCGGGAGAGATCCGTGATCTTGAGGGAAGCGCCCTCAGCCACGTAGCACGTGCGCTGCTCGAGGGATACCGGACTTGGGCAAGGGAGAGGTGGAGGGGATGATTACCTTAACGAGGAAAGGGGACGGTGGTAGCAATGGTAAATTGCGTGGTATGCGGGGACAGGGCTAACTGATCTCGTTAGCTACGCGATACGATACCCGTATCAAGAGCTTATCAGCCGGGAGATATCCGAGAGCGAGGTGACAATGCCACGCGCCGAGCATAGCGTCTCCGGAACAAAAGACGCAGCATACTGCGGCCCATTCTTCTCTCGACTCACAGGCGTGATCAACTATCAAGCACGATGTGTCCCTGAGACTTCCGTGCATGGAACCTATTCAAGTGTGACATGACACGAGCTCCAACTAGATCATCGAAGATATAGTAGTAGACAAGAGAGCGAACTCCGAGTCCGATACTTGGAGCAGTGCCTCGCGCTACATCATGCTGTCGGCGTCTAATGATAGATTCCGGCTTCTCGCCGTCGCGCTGAGGCTATGACAAGAATTAAAAAGGAGTACTGCTCCGATCCACTGTCGCAGATTCAAGTTCTGGATATCCTTCATAGATAAGAAGTGTTCCATGTTGGTGGGCAGACGCGAGAGGCTGTTCACTGTAACGTACTTGAGCATGCACAGAAGCGGAGAACAGCGTACTGCAGTGGCTCAGTGAGGTTTGGATGTGTTCTTTAGGTTTACAGTCGCCGGAGGAAACTCGCGGCGGAGAGAGCTATTTCGAGATCACAGTGACTCAATCACATAGTGACATGATGACGGTGTCATATCAAGTAGATATGTTACGTCTATCAAGGCCCGTATGTGACAAATATCCAACTACTAGAATCATCAGTGGCATCATGACATCTTGTGGAGGAGGCTCAGAACGCGGAAGATCTTACCAGATACCACCAGATCTCTCGAGGAGACTCCGGAAACATCAAGTTCGCTCAGGAAATGGCGGAAGCTGAACAGATAAGATAGGATCATGTAGGAACTTGCCTGATCTGGTACGACCGGGTCAGAACACTTCGAATCATGTGCTGCTCCGGTACGTCGACGTCCCCGACCTGGCATGTCCTATCTCATGCTGCCACCTCGTCACCTCAGGCCTTAAGAGGTCCTCATGCTCATATCAACGCTTCAATCGATGAAATTCATGGTTTCCGGTGATACTGGTGTATTCACGTAAGCTTTACTACCGGCCATATGTTCTATAGTAAGGGAGAGTGGTTCCGCTTTGGGACGCAGGCACTTCTGCTTTCGGGAATCTACGACGGAGGAGGTGAGTACCATTATGATTAAGTTCTGACCGGTGCCGCACGCTCGAAACGGGCAGACACGGGCGACTCGCCTTAGCTTTCGTGGAGATATTCCTGTGCAGCTGCACGGGTGACCATCTTGTCAACTTGAGAACTATTGATAGACATGCCAGTGTACAGGGCCGTATGAGGAGCGCGCCAGTGACTTGGCCCTATTTCCAGGGGCCCCGCGGTCTCTTCATCCGCATATGGTTCCGTATATTACAAGCATATCATCACGAGCTCTAACCCAGGCGTCGGCGGTGAGCGCGTTCGGATACAGCAGGCCAGCGGCTACTACCTGCATCACTGTCGCGATCATTCATGCACGTCGGAGCTCGCGAGGAAGGTGATATAGCCCCATGGAAGTATATAACAAGTGTCTCAAGAGGCGGCGAGACATTGGCAGCGAGCTTCCTTCGCAATCACCATGAACGCAACCACGGCGCCCGAAAATCCGATTGTCCTCAATATTCAGAGTTCATATGGCGCACTCATGATCGGGTGCTTCTTATCTTGCGCTGTTTGGGGCATGTCATGCCTGCAAGTGTGAGTACCAGTGACGTCGTGAGACGGTTTATCGAAGGGCTGACGCACCAATAGTTGTTGGTACTTTTACCAGTAAGGCACACACTTCATACTAACATTTCGTTGCTCATCATGCATCACCCTCAGCTATGGCTCTTCTGACCGGCGCAGTCTTAAACTTCTTGTAAGATGCTCGCCGGTACAGTTGTCTGCGTGGCATTGCTGAATGGTCCACTCAGGTCGTCTTTTTGTGGTAAGCTGCCTCATAGAGTGATATTCCGCGCAATGGCATGCAAAACAGGACATACGCAGGATCGCAAGCACCATCGATGAAATATTGCTCTTGGAGTGCAGTGAGTACCAGTGCTCATGCATATATGGAATGGATACTCAAACGGTATCCAAAGTGTGGCCGGTATTGATTCTACAATGGGGTAAAGTGGAAGGGCTTTCCGTCATTCAGGAGTAAGTTCGGATTCTGATACTGGCGCGAACACGTAAAATTGACACGCTCGTTCGTAGAGGTATCGTGGTAAGTCCCATCCTCGTATTCTATCGCGTAGAACGGCGGTAATCCTGTGATGTTGCCCACAGCAACATGTCTGGGTGTCGGTGAGTCACTGTACATTATGAACTCGAGAGGATCGCTCGTCAATCCTCTTCTGCTAGGGAATCATGGCAATTTGCGTTCAATGGTTTTATCTCTATCGTATCTATCAATGTGAGTCTTATTCGGTTCAGCACCCGATCTTGTTACTCAGGTTATTGCAGTCAGCGGCAAAAGATGGCTTGTCCCATCTATCATTGTAAGCCTAGTTCACCTGCCAGCTGTAGAGCTCATTGAACTCTACCACAGGCCGCTATATCCCTCTGGCAGCTTTGTAAGCACTTTCCTCGATGATATACTAGTATACGGTGAAGTGATGTCTTTTTAAGTTGAGTCGATCCGTACGTTCACTCGTGTTGACCATCGCACCGCATGTCACTGATACGCCTGCTGGTGGGTAGCTCAAAACATTATCATGTGAAACCCTATTTCCATAACGCTGTAACTCTCGCTGACCTACAATATATGTAGACACCACAAATGGACACTCGTGACATTGTCATCGCGTCCTGTCGTTGTGCGTATTCTCCTATCTGTGAGCATGGCGGACTCGACGATTGTTGTTTCGCAGGCCTTGAATATCAGCCTTCGAGCCTGCAGTGCTTGCGTCGATCTGTTCATTGCCATCACGATGTCCTACTATCTAATCAAGCAGGGCATACCTAAGTTCTCCCAGTACGTTGGTGACTGTACGAGAAGTTATTGCTACTCACCAGCCATACATATGTAGTACCCAGAAGATGTATTTCCGACTCTTCCTGATGACCATCAACACGGGAATGTGGACCGCAACTATTGCGACACTTGACTTCATCCTGGTATAGACTCACTTGCTGTCTCACCGAAAACTATCGCTCATGCAATTGACTTGTAGATGGCGATTTATAGGGATGACCTATGGTATGCAATATTCGAGTGGCCTCTCGGCTCCTTGTACCTCTGTGTCCTCCTCGCCAATCTCAATGCAAGGGAGTTCATTCGAGGAAGAGAGCAGATTTGGCACGACATGTCTACTTCGGGAAGAAACAACTTCGCACCAGCAAGTCGTGGCCCCGTGGCCGCTGACGGTCGCTTGCCAGCACTTTGTGTCACAGCGCAAGCTGGTGTATGTCGTCTCATTCCGAAGATCTGACATTTATGCTAATGAATGTCTTAGGACATGATGATGGTCAACCTATCCCATGCGGATAGTAAGCAGTCTCAGGATGCGACCGCAGCTACTACGGAAACTAATTCGAAATTCACTGTATGTGCACTGCCTCCTTGGAAGTCGTCGGATGATTAATGCGATGACAGGACTACACGGTGTAGATTGCACAGTTGGATCCCTCAAAGATGCTAGGCGGGTATGCGAGCGGCAGTCGGCGTCAAGAAGTCAATTGTCGCGTGTACACGTCACTCGGTTGTCCTTATTTGCTCGTCTGCCTCTGTGCTCCAATGAGTTACGGTAGATAGCTTCTCACTTCTGTCTGCAGAATATCTACCATTGTATCTATGGAATGAGACCTGAAACTCTATGACTATGACAGTACTAGTGCGGCGCCCTAAGTGGTCCGGGCTGATATGTCTTCCTGATTCATGGCTTCTGCCCGCGCTCACCAAACCTTACTTGCTCGGACGCCCAGAGCCTGGAGTCGAGGCGCGAGCGCAATGGAGGTATTAATGCCCCGAGCGAGCCGAATTCGTTCCCAAATCCCTTGAGTATTGAATGTTTAGTCACTACTACCTTGACGCTCGAGCGCCGCATGGGCGCCGCGCGTGACAGCGCTCACTACTTACTAACACGACAATCTCTATACACAACAGCCTGAGACCCCTGTTTACCAATCCTAGATCGAAGTATCCGACTCCTACCATCGCATGACTGCGATATTTCACATACGTCGACAAACACACTTACCGGAGGAGCGGGCGCCACTGCGTCCAATACTAGAGTTCAGGCCGCCACGTCGGGCAGCGCCCGGTAGGCAGAGAACACGATATATACGGACATATATGATACAGTTTTCACTAACGACAGGACGACATTCACGTGAACTACGAGAGCCGCAAATTTACAAAAGGCCAGGTCAACGTCACGGTGATCACCGTCTCAGACTAAAGTTCGTGTATCTGTATCTTTTTGCATTGACTTCGTGTCCGATATATCCACTGCAACTCACCCTCCGATTGCCAGACTTCAGAGGACGTCCTCATTCATCCCTCTCTGCTCTGCTCACCATGCCATCCCTCATCATAAACGATCAGAACATCGAGCTTCGCTACACTGATAGCGGTGCTCCTCCTAAGACCAGTTCTACCCCCTACATCACGTTGTTCATGGTTCATGGCATGGGCTTTACAGGCCGTAAGCTGTTGAACACCATCCTTCCGCGACGGTGCCACAGTGCTGACGCTATTCTCAGCGATCTTCAAGAAAATCCAGGCTTTGGCGCATTCTTCGAACCTCCGCGTCGTTGCCATGAACCGACGTGGATACGCGGGCTCTACCCCTCTTACTCAGGCAGAAGCGAATGCTCCTGTAGTCGGTTCCGACGAGCAAAAGGCGGCGTATCTTGCCGACAGAGGGATAGAGATCGCAAATTTCGTAGACAGCTTCATCCAGAAACACGACTTACCCCACATCACCGCCGATCGCAAGGGCGGCGGTGTAGGCCTTCTCGGTTGGTCCTCGGGAAGCGTGTCTGCTCTTTCCGCCGTGGCTTGGGTCGACAGATTGCCATCGGACACGCAGAGACGGCTGGCGTTGTGCATGCGTTCGTTGATTTTGCAAGGTATGTACAGCTCCTATTGTTGTTGATTCGCTCGTCTGACAAATGGATAAAGAACCTCCGTCTATCTCACTTGGCATGCCAATTCCCCCCGGAACTTGGATGCCAAGGATCGACCCCTCCATCCCTGAAAAGCTGCAGTTGTCTATGTTCGTCCAGTGGGGCACATCATATTTCGATCATGGTGACTTGGCCACTCGCGATCCCAACGTCCTGTCTTACATCGTTCCCTCTGTATCACGCCGGCCGTCGATTTATGCCATGTCCGACGAAGACCGGCAGGACTTTATGGAGGATGTGTCCGAGAGCAAAATAATGGTTTCTGTCACATCCCAGAGTCTTGCTATGTTTCGGAAGGCGTGCTTCGATCCCGATGTGCGTGCACGGCTTCCGGAGCTGAAGATATGGACTTTGGCAGGGGATGCTACGGTCTCGTTTGCGATCGCGTCGTTTTGGACTATCCAAGATGAGGATAAGGAGCGTGGCAGCGGTTTCGTCAATTACAAAATGATCCCGGGAGCGAATCACTATGTGCGTGTGCACAGACGAACACCTGCTATTTCTGCTGATCTTCTCATTAAGGTGCACTGGGACGACCCAGAGAAAGCCGTTCAGGCCTATATTGAAGCGTTGGCGTAGGCTGCAGTGGACGTATCGTGATAGCGAATATCGTGCTGGGTGTACTATGAATGTTCGTGTTTTAGGCTGCAAGTCCGTTTCCGACACCTAAGAGCCGGCGCCGATGATAGACACACATGTTCTCTATCTTACCTCGACCAGCCCTAAGTGTGCATTTGAGAGCATTTCATCAGGGCATAGTACAGCGTGGGATTGGACCACCGGGAGGGTGTGCAGCGCGGCTTGTTTCGCTTCTGTCTCACTGTCATGGAAAGCTCCAAGCATTGTCATGTGAGATCTCGTACGTACAGAAGGCAAAGCAGCATGCAGTTGCGGAGGAAAGGAGGATACCAAGCCTCGACTCGGAGGAACGAGGGGCGAGGTGTATTCGGTGTCCTACGCTGAGAAAAGGGTTAGTTAATAACTTGGTAATGATCAGGTAAATTGCACTACGCACATAAGTTAGCACTATTAGCGGACACTACAATCCTAGTGTAATATATTGACGTCGCCTTTTCGATGCTACTGAAGCATGTAAATCACACGACTTCAGCTTCAATGAGCATCAATCATCTATCATCGATGTCAATGATTGCTACTAACAATATTAATGTTAATGAAAGTCTACCTAAACCATTCGAACTCCGACTTAGTGCCGCCCATGGCGCAACTTGCCAATGCCTACGTACTGAACGCTCTCTCAGGCTCGACAGCTCTCGACCCGCTGGCAGTGCACGAACGCAGCCTCCTCTTAGCTCACCTCAGCAATTGCGCTAGCGGCCCTTTTTACACGCTCATTCGCCGTAGCATCAAAGGCCTGTGTCTATCGAGGTTTATTCGCTGTTCCCAGACCAAATCACACACCGTAGCTCCATAATCAGGTTCGTCTCCCTTGCCATCGCTGTATGTGTTTGTGAGGTTCAAAGAGCCAGCTCGCCCTTTTGATCTCCTCACAGCGGGTCCTGCCCGTGCTCCCCTCGCCTGCCGCAACTGACACAAGTAAGTACTTCATCTCACAAATCCGGGTGAGTTAGCATCAGTGCCCCTGATCAATTGCCCCTTTCGTCATAACCCTCCTCAACGCACACCGCTGCATATTATGCTCTGCTCCCGCCGCGTGGCTTCCTTTGACGCCACCTCCACGTGAGTACCGGCATCCCCATGATTCCTCGTCCGCGCTGTGTCTCGTGCGTTCCTGTCATGAACGCTCCTGCGGCTCCCTTACCCCCCGCAGCAAGCTCACCCACTACTATCCCGTCCTCGTGGACTCCGTCGTAGCCGTGATTGTCCCCATGCTGCCGAAGGACCACGCCCCACCAGATAAAGTGAATGAGCAATTGAACATTGCTCGCAATGTCCCTTTATGTTCGCCATCGACGTCTCGTATGTCTCATTTACCTATGTAGATCGACTTTCTCATGCTGCCTGACTTCGCTGCCAACCGACATCCCTGTACGTCTAACAAGTGCTTTCGAAGACCAGTGATCTGATGTCAGTCCGCTCTGTCGTGGCTGAGCGCATGGGGTCTCGTATGTAGCCAGTCTGGTGGTGAGTTTTTGTTTGTGTATCCAGCATCAATCCATTTCTTATCTTCCGTTTCTCATCTGAGTGAAGAGACTCGTATTACGGCCGGACGACTACAATGACCCCTTCACTCGTGAAGCGTCATCGCTCCCACCGTATGCAAATGTGACAAGAGAGCGTCCACATTTTGGCCCCGCGTTCTCCCAGAACTATCGGACAGATTGGCGCTGCGTGAGAAACATCGAAGCAACCCTCGAAGTACTTGGGTGTCTCGATGTCATAATGCCACTGGTGTCCGTGACGCTGTATAGTACATGCGTGTCACAGTGTCGGTTCCTTGTTGATAACTCGTTCACAGCCTCGCCACGAAGTCCGCGATCGTTCGGAACATACGGAAGTTCCAAACAACGCCGGGCTCAATCTGATGTGTGGTAGGATCATTCCAATCTTTAGGGACACTCCTCGGGGCCTCCATTGAGCGGGAAGATGTGATGAAGGTACCTATCCATCTGATACTTCCGTTCTGCTAAGAGTTCCTTGGCTGGCAGGACTACGGATGAGCCCGCGGGATGCACGCGACTTGGAAGTGACCGAGGTCTTCAGTCAAGCAACGCCTCAAGGCCTCATGATCAATGATTATCTAGGTACTGACCTTCTGTGCCCATTTAATCCGCGGCCTCGAAGACTTCGTTAAGTGCTCAAGCAGAATACTTTCAGCTATCTACGTGAATGCCCGTCGATCTTATGAGCATGGGCGTCGTCGTTGAGTACCCTTGGCTTTCCGCGCTTTGTGCGGTTGGTCTTGCGCTTTTGTGTTACATGCTACATGGGTCATGCGCACGATTCTCTACTATAACATTGCTTCCAGTGCCGGTATGTCTTATAAATCCTTGTGACACCGATGAAGTTCTGACATCGACTACAGCCTTCTGCTGACATTCTATGGGGCCATGAAAAAGCCATCTTTGCTGGCGAACCCGGACGTGCACTGCGACGGTGGTTTACGCTCCTTGGTCCAACGTTTCGCATTAGAGCAGCGCTTGGAGTGAGTGGGCAGCCGATGGCTTAACTGTTTCGTAAGCTGATAATGGTTTCACAGGCTCCCGACATTGTGAGTGAGTTTCAAGTATTCGACCTTGCGCGGCTCATGTACATGACATGCTAGCTTGTGCTCAGCGACCCCGACGCTGTGTCACATATTCTTCAGAAAAAGATATACGACTATCGTAGGTCCCCGTATGCATGTCAGGTCAACCTTTTTTCTCAATGTCTTCAAGACCATAGCGGCGTCGTTCGCCCGCGGATTGCTCGCTTACTGGGGCGAGGCCTCGGTTGGGTCGAAGGGGAAGCAGAACACAAGAGGATGAGGCAACTCGTTGGTCCTTCACTCTCGTACGTCCTTGATGTGCGTTCAGTCGCGATTCTGTCTAACGAACATGATCAATCAGCGGGGAAAACATCAAGGTCATGGCACAAGACATACAAGATGCAGCTTCAAGAGTATGTATTATATTGCCTCCGTGTTCGCTGTTTTCATGATGTGCCCCGGTTCAGGTACTAGATGAATTCACAGATGCCATGCTCGCATTGAACACCGGCGCTGAAGATCCTCGTGTCCAAGTGAATATCCTCAACATCACGTCGAAGGCGACGTGAGTACCCCATAAACCTCTCTCTACAGAGCTGACGTTAAGACAAGATTAAATGTGATCGGACGAGTGGTAAGCTTATGTTCGCCATTGCGAACTGATGGTCCATGATGCTGACGATTATGGCCCCATAGGCCTTTCTGCACGACTTCGAAGGCGGAAAAAGCACTGAGGCCCAACAGATTTTGAGTGCCAGACGAACGGGGGCCAAGGCTATCACTCGCTATACGTCCTTTGTGGTGAGTGCTGTCATACGTTATGGATGGCAGTACAAACAGCGTCTAGGCCCTTATGTTACTCCGTCGCTTTCCCATTCTCAACGACCTGCCGATTCCTGTCATCCAAGCGCATGGCCTCGCAAAGACAACCATTCAGGTGCGAGAATTGATTGCCGATAACAAACTTGGTGCGCTGAATGCCACTCTAGTCGGGCGTCGCCCGAGAGATGGTCAGGCGGAACAAGGACTACGTTACAGGAGACCATGGCAAACAAACCGACCTCCTCAGCAGATTACGTGAGTCTATCTCGTACCCCATACCGTGTATTATTTGGATTAATGGGCCGCTGTGATCCGTAGTTCTGGCCGTCAGTCAAGGCAAGCTCTCTCAGACGGAGATGTACGACCAGGTAATTGCTGAAAAGTTACCGTCCGATGTCCATCACTCATAGATTGTAGATCTCGACATTCATGTAGGTGCTTCAGATGTGATGCTCTCACCGCCTCTGACATTCTCCAGTATGGCCGGCCATGATGGTACCACAACCACGGTCGGCTTCACAATCTGGGAGCTCGCCCGCAATCCTGATGTCCAGGATCGTTTACGTGCGGAATTGAGCGAACTAGGCAGGGAACCAACCTACGAAGACTTCCTCCTTCGGTTACCGTACTTGGACGCAGTGCTCAGGGAGATGTTAGTAGAACCACCTCTTCGAACCAAGCTGGGTACTAATCGGTATTGTGCATAGACTGCGGCTTTACCCAGCCCTTCCATACATGGAAAGGGTGGCCACCAAGCCTGATGTAATCCCGCTGGCGGAACCGGTCATACTGCAAGATGGGACGACTACGCGACAAGTCGAGATACTGCCAGGACAAGTAAGTCATGCCACTGGTGCTGCTGAAACGTGCTATTTGATACCGCGAATATCCTCAGACGGTCCTCATACCAATAATCGCCATACATCGCCTGGATTCCATATGGAAAGAAGCAGACGAGTTTCGCCCAGAGCGGTGGTTGACTGGATTGCCACCGCAAGACAAGTTACAATCCGGCTGGTCGAATTTGCTTGCATTCAGTGAAGGACCACGTAACTGCATTGGAGCGAAGTTTGGTACGTTTCAGCTGTTTCCATGTCCGTCAACGTGGCTGACAGCGTCCTCAGCCATGTTTCAATATAAGGTTACTTTTGTAATCTCTTGGTCAGCGAATGGCGTGCTCATACGAAACGTGGTCTAGGTGATCCTTTGTGGGATGATCACGCGCTTCCGATTTTTCGAGGCTGAAGGAACACTGTCGTTGAGAATCTCGTCAAGTCTGCAGCCTTGGATTGCCGGTAGATCGGAAGAGGGTCCTCAATTGCCCGTCAGAGTAGAAATAATCTAAGTACATAGCTGACAACTGTACTCAGGAGCGACGTTTGCGGAATTTTCCCCCTCACGCCTTCTCGTGTACAGCAATCCCGCGTAGTACAGATGTCAGGGAGGTATGTGCGATCCATGTGAATGATTCTAGTGTACAGGTAGTTGCAACTACTACTTATGTCTTAATTCCTCGGAATGCGGAAGACTCGGACGCGTGCACGTGACACCGGACTAGATCCTGAAGGTTACGAGAGCACCATGAGACAGGTTAAACATACGCAATCTATACACCGCAGATAACAGGGCACGGCCGCGTCTTGACGATTGCCGCACCACTACCTATAGGACTACTGATTCACCTATACTACGATTCCTCAACATTGCGATCCGCCTTTACCGTTTACGGCTGCCGGCGCGCGGTGCTACAGAGGCCCGAGAGTGTGTACCCCGAACACTCCTTCTCGAGCAGACGGCTGATAGAACTCCTCCTTCAGGCTTGTCACTCCCTTCTATGCTATCTGCGCGGTGCGCGTTCATCAATCACATCTTGTCCGCGGAGACTGGACATCTCGGATCGGGCCTCGGGATTCAGTATGCTTCCGCACGATGCTAATACCGCCGAACCGCCGAACCGCAGGTATTGGTGTCCTTGCAGGCATTGCGTACCACTGAGTGTGCCAACAGTTGTCACGCGAGATATCTGATGGGTAGGATGATCAGAAACACTCCTCGAGCTTTCCAAGTCCGTGTCAGTGGTCTTGATGAAAACGAGGTCATCAATCCAGCATCAATCAGCGTTGCGCACATTTATTACTAGTACGGAGTCCTGCTCATAGCATCGGGTACGCTCAACACGCCCACTGATGTCGTCTCTTTTTCTGATTGCTACTGGTGCTATCTTAGTGTGGGCGTGCATCTTGTGGTGCAAAGGTCTTCGAAGGCTCCCGCCAGGTACGTTCAAGACCTATTCCGTGACGTTCAGTTCAGAACCGCTCGATGTGCAGGCCCCCCCAGTCCGCATCTCTTTTGGCCGACAACTGGGCTTCCGCCAGATGGACCGTGGAATGCATATCTTGCCTGGTCAAAGATATACGGTAAGTCTCGCCGCATATCGCATCATTCCGACAACTGAACTCGCCGGTTACGAGGTCCGATGGTCTATCTATACGCATATGGACGTCACACTATAGTGGTCAATTCCCACAAAATTGCCGTGGATTTGTTGAAGGGAAGGTCTCTCCTCTACGCTGAGAGGCCGCACTGGTCGACAGTAGCTGCTTTGACGGGCCGCCAGAATAATATCGCTTTCATGAATTACACGGAAAGGCAGCGCAAATCCCGGGCATTCATCCATAGGGCGGTGAACCCCATGTCTCAAAGGGAATGGGGTCCGATATTGGAAGAGGAGACACGCCGGCTCATACAGAACATCATACGCACACCATCCTCGTACAAAGAGCACATAAATTGGCAAGTGGCTGCTTCTCCCTCATCCGATATCTCAGCTGCTGACGATCGAGAAAGGTATCTGGCCATGTTCATGAACCGCTTCACCTATGGGACTCCTATCACGGAGGAGCGTTTGAAACTCGCCGAAGAACTTTCAGTGCAAACGCAAAAATCGCTAAGACCGGGCTACTGGATCGTGGACTCCGTGCCGCTTCGTGAGTTTTCTGATTTAGATGCGCTTTTCAATATGTTAATTCCTGATACTTGAAGTGGCCTACTTGCCCGAATGGTTACCGGGAATGGGGTTCAAGAAGTGGTGCAGAGATGCACGCGCTCATTTCGATGCGTTCACGGTTGTGCCATTTCGCGGGGCTCTCGATAGCGTTGTAAGTGTCCGTGTGAACGTAATCACCGATCGTTCATCTTTGTTGCAGCGCAAAGGCGAGGTTCAGGAAGGCATGATCCCTCGTGGCTTGCAGGAGCTTTTGGCAGACAAACCGACGGCTGACATGGACGTTCTGCACTCCGCCGCTTGCAGCACCCATACAGGTTGGTCTTTCAAGAGGAGTGGTTACGGTATCAGACGGAGCTGACTACTTCGCTATTGAAAGCGGCAACGGAGACGGTGTGTCATCCCATATCCCATACAACGGGCGGCACTCATGCGATGCAGACGTCTGCCCTCCTCTTCAGCTTCATATTGTTGATGACACTTCACCAAGATGTACAGTCAAGGGCATACAAGGAGATCAGCGACGTTGTTGGGACCGCGCGGCTTCCCCTGCTATCAGATCTGTCGTCTCTGCCATACATCAATGCGATTTTGAAGGAGGTTCACCGATACCATCCTGCGGTTTCTATTGTTTCTCGCTCTCCATCAGAACATGACGAGTATGGCGGATACTTTGTGCCCAAGGGTGCATGGGTGATCTTCAACCTATGGTATGGTTCTGTTCAGTCTATTTTGTTTCTGCTGACATTAGTTCTCACTCACGTAGGGCAATCACTCACGACGACACCATTTACAATGATCCAGATGCCTTCAATCCGGATCGACATTTGAATCTACCTGAAGGCGTGGCATACTTGGACCCTAGGGATGTCACGTTTGGTTTGGGAAAACGGTGAGAACTTCCACTCCATAAGGATGCGTTGTTCAACCCCTCGATGTCTCGCAGGATATGTCCTGGGATCAACCTGGCCAACGCACAGATAGCTCTATTTATGGCACAAGTCCTATCTGCCTTCCACATTACTATGCCATCGACGGATGACAATGGCGCCCAGAACATGCCTCATTTAGCGTACACCCCGACCTTCGTCAGGTGAGACATCAGACACCGCTCATTTACTATGCATCTCATTTAGTTTTCGCAGTGCACCTGAGCCGTTTACCTGCTGCTTTTCTCCTCGCGACGACGACTTCTCACAGCAGTTGTTGTTCGCGTCGCAACTGTAATAATGAACTGAGGAGAGGTCGCTGCTCACTGTACGTAACTCGCGCAGCTGATGGGACGTTCGAAAACGCTCCCCAGTGAACGGATTAGTTGTTAGTAGAACATGCATGAAGCTTCAAGCTTGAATTTTCTGTATAAGTGAACTCGAGTATGTTGGCTGTGGTACCTCAGTATAGTCTCCTATTATCCTCTTCAGATCCTCGTTGAGATGGACGGACTCGGAAACTTCCGGTGTTGTGAGAGAAAACAAGATTACATACTACAAGCCTCGGGTTTGCAACGGGGACACGACATGTACATGTTCTGGTCTGCAACGGAGACCTAGTCTTCCATTCGCCGTACACAGCCAAGCCAACCGTCCCCGCCACGAGCGCATCATGATGAACTTCTGTGACATGTTCAGCTGAGTCCTGGGCGGCCCTAGTGGTGTCGGAATGCGGGCGGCATCACCGAAATGTAAGTGTATCTTCAACTCAGGCTAGATCATCATCATGCAGGCGCACGATTGACACCGTAACCGGGGAAGCTCACACGAGAATCACACAGGAAAGCACATGCTATGTTGACTCGGGAGTGTTCCAACAGTGCTCGACCTCCTCTGACTCGGAGGTTCTGATACGGTGCCAGAATGTACGACGTTCTCCATTCTTGGAACTATGCTGAACGTTCGACGTCAATATGCGATTTGAATTGCAGCCAGCGCCCGGATCCCAGAGTAGGAAGGCGCAAGGGTATAGCAAGCGCAGCGGTGAGTTCCGAGCTCTCAACTTGGCTACCACTCGCTTCTTCTCCACGAGAGGATACCCGTGTTTGCGGCATTTATGCCTATCTTCGTCCTACTGTGTGTGCCTCTATACTCTTGCGTTCCACGGATCTTGACAAATCCTGAGCAAGGCAGTTAGGAACACGGGCGCTCGAAGCAGGTCCCTCGTCGAAGAGGGTACCGTCTGATTCAGGTGGCGCTCGCTGTCAGCCGGCGGCCATCGTACCACAACGTAGAAGCAAGGTAGATGCCGCACATTGGCGAGTCTGATTATTGCTCCTTCCGACTCCGACCCAACGAACTTTAATTCACGGGGCTTTGGAGTAATAGTCCAACCACAACCAGAACATTCTCTCCTATAACTGCATCGACGTTCATCACTTGAGACAGGCTTAAGTCAACATGAGCTTACTGAATCTCTGGACAGTCGGCCTCGCACCGAGAGTACTGGGTGTGTTGTTTGCGGCCGTTTTGGCCTCAGCTGTCTACCTGCGCTCTCGTGGAAGGGTGCACAAGGTCTATCCGCCAGGCCCACCAAGACGGTGGATTGTCGGGAACCTCTTGGATATACCATCCTCAGTCGACCTCACTCGATTCAAGCTGTGGAAAGACACATACGGTATGTGGCGCTATTTCCTCATCGCTTCATCTGTGTTAATTCATTGAAGGGGATGTCGTGTACTTGAACGCTCTCGGCTACTCCATCTTGGTTCTGAACACGGCACGAGCGATCAACGACCTGCTGGCGAAAAGGGGAGAGAACTACTCCCACCGTCCTATCTTCGTTATGTCTGGTGAGCTCATGGGCTTGAACAAGGTATCTACCAGCAGGCTCGGTATGTCGCACTGCCGCTGACAGTTGCGACAGTGCATGGCTCTCGTCGATTATAACGCCAGATACAAGCGCCTCCGTACACTAACTCATCGTGCTCTCAATCCTGATGCTATCAAGAAGTATTATCCGATACAAGAGGAGCTTACGCTTTCTTACATGCAAAGCTTGGTGTCTAAACCAGATGAGTTCTTAGTCAATCTACGATTGTCTGTGCCATGACATTCTCCATGCGAGTGCCATTGTTTTAATCGACACCGTCCAACAGGACTCTCGGTCGTGTTATCCTGGCTGTCACCTATGGGATGACGGTGGAAACTGCCGATTCCGAGGTGAGACTTACTATTCATACATGAATGAATTTGACTTTTGATTCCTCAATGGTCTCAGTATATCGCAGAAGCTGAAGACACGCTCAACACGATCGGCAAAGCAACACTACCAGGAGCATATCTTGTGGATTTGATACCCGCATGTTGGTCACTACATACCTGCGTGTTTGACCAAGTCTGACTGCGTCCAACGTCACAGTGAAGTTTATTCCGCCCTGGCTTCCGTTTACCTCTTTCCTTCGAGAAGCGGAAGCTGGCCGCCGTCAAATTTACGACTTCGTAACCCGTCCGTTCGAGTACGTCAAGCGACATATGGTTCGAATGTTTTTCTTGACATAAGTACATGGCACTGATCAGTGGCTCAGGATAATTCTCCTCCCCCGTCCTTCGTTGCAGATCTGTTGGCGGAGCGTGATCTGTATCACGATATGGAAGACCTGGAAGACATAGAGGATGGTATTAAATGGGTTGCTGGAACGATGTATGGAGGTAACACATTTGATCAAAATCGCGCTATTGTGAACTGATAGTCTTTCATAGGTGGTATGGAATCTGTACGTATATTCGAGTACACCTTGCATTTCATATTCTCAGTTCGTTTCAGAGTTTTGCTACGGTCTCTACTTTCTACCTGTTGATGGCTCGTCACCCCGACAAGCAGAAGCGAGCGCAGCAGGAGATCGATAGCTTATTGGAGGGGCGACGGCTGCCCAAGATCAGCGACAGGGAGAGCTTGCCTTACGTCCGAGCACTCATACAAGAAGTCATGCGGTGGCATGTTGTGGTTCCACTCGGTGAGGTTATATGGTACTATCAGTACGCAGGATCATTCTCATGGATTACTTGAAGGGATTGCTCGTCGAACTGTGTCTGATGACCACTATAAAGGTGCGTTGCTCTATGACCCATGCCTTCGTTCGCTGAACCGTCAGTAGGGTATTATATTCCGGCGGATACGGTAGTCGTACCCAACATATGGTGACTCCGTTCATGTCTGTTATACATACGGTTGCTGAATATTCTCCAAAGGGCATTAGCTCATGCGGACGATGAGGAGGATCATACAGCATTCCTACCGGAGCGGTTCTTACGCACAGATCTGCCTACAGATCCAAGCGAGTATGTCTTTGGCTTCGGTAGAAGGTGCGACAATCACACTGGTCTGAATGTCCGAGATATAACCCACTCTTGTAGGATTTGTCCGGGGCGATATCTGGCCGACAATTCCCTCTTTCTTTTGATCTCTAACACCCTCGCCTTATTCGACATTCTCCCGCCCAGCGGTGCATCGGAGCAATCAGCACTCTCCAGCGTTGTGTTCACAAACTATCTAGTCAGGTCTGTCGTATCGATATGTTGCTGTAGGACTTCCTAACGTTCGCTCCGGTCAGCACGCCAGAGAAATTTCGGTGTGACATTCGACCACGCTCAGAGGCATGCGTAGAGCTAATTGAGGAAGCACTTGCTGGTGACCCTCTTCGCACGGGCTTATTACCCGCATGAAGCGTACTGAATCTGCTTTCTTGATCTCGTGGTACCGCTTGCCCAACTGAACACGGGCGATTTTATCGTACAGTCCGCCTGAGTACTATGTAGACATGCGAGTGTCTTCGTCCGAGATGTTCTCAACGCGCCTTTGGCCACTCAATCTGTTTCTTATTGACGGCAGTCGAACCTTTTTCCTCATTCCTTGAGCGCGACAGCCTCCCAGTAGGGCTGGAGCCACGGTGTAATGGACATGCCCACAGAAGTGACCGAATGAACCCGGCGGGCCTGCGGCGTCACTGTCTCCGCCGGTCGACATTCAACGTTCCATCAATATTCACCTCAGGAATCAGATGATTCCGGTGACCGTTGACGTGTTGACGCCTCCTCTGTATGGGTTGTGCTGTCTCGCCCGCGTGAGCGGCCTAGATACATGGGCGTCTTCTACGAAGTATAAGTAAGTGCTCATATCCTGAATGGCAGGGCCCATTGTCTCTCCAAAGATGCAAACGTCGCAGCCATATGTACTCCAGGTGCCGTAGATGGTCCACTTTCGTTTACGTACGACACCTGACAGGTGATGATACAGCCAGCTATTTCCTCTCGCATTGAAGTAGACCGGTACGCCGATAACGCTGTTCTCATGCCAGAGACACATTGTCTAAGCTGTTCGTAGATTGGACAGTGTACACAGTGCATTCACCAGTTACTTTGGCGGCCGTCTGAGCTTAGCTCCTCTTCAAGGTGCATCTGTCAAGAGAGTGCTCGAGCTTGGGTAAGCCTTCCTAGGAGTCGTCAGTCGGTGAATACAGGCTGAGTAGGTCGAGTGTCTCAGGTCTGGGAGTGGTGCATGGTGAGCGTCGTCTTTTGCTATCTCCCTGTGCCTCACTAACTCGTTCGCATGAAGGGCAATCGAGGCTAGTCGACTCTTCCCGCAAGCCGAAGTAGTGGCCGTTGATTTATTCCCAATACCGGATCGGTATGAATGCGTCTCGGGATGGACTTATGGAAGCTAAAATTGGGTATATTTTACAGCACGGTACCATCAAATCTACGCTTCCTTCAACACGATCTCACCCAGCCGCTTCCCTTTGCGAAAGAAAGCTTCGATGTCATACATGCTCGATTGATCATGATACATGTATGTGCATAAACTCAGCCGGGTATGCAATCTCTAAGCGTTGAAAATCAGCTTCCGGACGTAGAGAAAGTCCTTGAGCGCACAATCGAACTGCTAAAACCGGGGGGGTGGCTGCTCATAGAGGATCCTGATGAAGATGCTCATGACACAGATCGCGGATGTCGAACCCTGGTGCAGAACTGCCCCCTAGTTCGACTGTTACAGGATATCATGCGCTCGAAGGGCGCAGACCCATGTGTAGCGCGAAGATTGGAGACACTCATACAATCGTCGGAACAGTTCGACGAAGTGAACGTGCGAAGAGTCATCGTTCCGATGTGCGGTCAAGATGTCGGTGTGTTGACTCACTATATTTAGAATTCTCGTGTACTCAGGATCGTTCTTCTCGTTGCAGCGCCGGCGGAGAACGCATTGGGCAAGGTATGGAGGGCCACATACAAAGTCACAGCCGCGGACTTGGCAGCTCGATATTCAGAGCATGGCATCACGCCGGAGGTGTTCAAGCAATTCAGCGACATGCTGAATTGTCCTGATGCTGGCTTGATAAGCGATCTCTACTTTACATGGTCGAAGAAGCGATGCGATAGGGACGAGAGAACGGTTTAGAAGGATGCCAGCTGTATATTTCTCGAGTAGGATCCGGTGTATCATTCCGATCTTTGCTAGCTCGCCGACACGTAAAGATGAGAATTCGGTTGCCAGTAAGATCCGGTTGTTGTTCGCTCGGCCCCTACCCGGATATCAGTGGTTCTATGTGTTGCTGAGCGCACACAGATGAGGAAGGCAGTTCAGCTCGTTCCCTGATACCGACAGTGTGCGTGCAAACAGCCCGATCATCACGAAGTTCTGATGCGAATGTGCAGCTTGAATGTGAATATGGTCAACCGTGCGCGTGACGGTCCGGGGGCCTCATCGTTGGCAGTGCCAACTGCAGTGCCTTAGACTCAATGGATTGGGAACGGCATGAAAACGGCGCGTGCCGTATCTACAACTAGTACTGTTCTCGCAGAATATGCAAGCTGCGAAGAAGCCCTAGGCGGTAGTATCAAATACTGTGGAAGTAGAATCGGTCAACATCAGCGCGGCCTGCCAGTGCCAGCCCGCAGAGTGGTCCGAATCATCGCGGATACGTCCAATTTCGATTCGCACATACTGTATCATCCGCTCTTCGCGGATGTCACTGCCTCGCACGTGGTGCCCTCCGGCGTCGGCGGCTGAAAGCATGATCAACAGCGTCCCAACGCATTAAATGCAAGGATCATTCATCCTATGGACCCCAGCCTAAGAGGCCCTCACCGTACCGCATCTCCTCATGTCACTCGCTCGCGCTATCTGCACTTCGTTGTTAGCAGTGATGAATTGGTTGATATCATCCCCTCCGCGTGCTCCAGCGAGAGCGGATGAGCAGGTGGCTGCGGAGAAGAAGTCGCGCGTTGTGGATCGTGGCAGGGAAGCAACCTTCTGGGTCGTGGCTAGACCACTATTGCACATTTCACAGGTGAGAATTTCTCCATATTCGACACGAAGTCAGAAAGAGCCATATGGCTGACGCCTAGCCAACAGACTTTGGTCTGGATCACAGCGGCGTGCGAGGTCGCCCTTACATTCGCTGCATACCACCCGTCCCACGAGCTGTCCATGCTTTTTCTTCGACACATCACATTTGTTCATACACCGAACAGAGCAGCCGCAGTCGACATACGTTCCACCGGGCTGGTGGCCTGGAGCTTAGGCATGACGGGCTGCCTTCTACGCTATTGGACGTTCTACGTTCTCGGAGATCTCTTCACCTTCCAGTTGGCCATCCGCACCAATCATCGCTTGATCACGGCCGGTCCGTACTCGGTCGTCCGCCATCCATCGTATACGGGGGCCATCCTAGCCTCATTTGGCACAGGGGTCTACTTACTAGGACCTGGATCCTACATCTACGAATGTGGCGTTCTCAGCACTCGTTTAGGGATATGCGGAGCATCTATCTGGATTGGGTGGAAGGCCATACTGTCGTACAATCTTGTCAGGAGGGTAAAACAGGAGGATGCATTTCTGAAGGCAGAGTTCGAGAAGGAATGGTCGGACTGGGCTAACAGAGTTCCGTACGCTCTATTTCCGGGTTTGTTGTGATATTGCGACTCTATGTATCACAGACAAATTGGTTACCTATGTTCTATTGCCTCGTGGTGCAACGACTTAAAAATATGGTACTTGACCCATGCACATTGTGAGAAATCATGATACAATTCATGTATGAAATGTAGACTCAGAGTGCCGTCGAATGCCCCTGACAGAGGGTGCGACGGAGGTCCCCAATTCCCGCTACGTATCTCATCCAAAATACAGGCATCGCAATTGTCCAAGGCTCGCGAAAAATAGCTGTCGGAAGAGAGCAACCTACCGAACGACGTATTGAGACCGTTCGGATGAGCAGAATACAGAGTAAGTACTATGTACAAGGCGAAGTACTCGTTTCATTTCGAGTGGCCAGTATTCAGCTGCCAGCTAATCGTGTATACGCAGTATTGGTGAGTATATGAATGGAGAACGGTTGATATAATTGGCCCGGGAACGGACGCGTTGTGATCAAACCACGTAGACACGAGCACGTGACCGCGTTGAGCGTTCGTAGCGCGATCGGCATTCGATAAGCCCTAAGCCCGGTAGTTGGCCGCATTCGCTGTGTCCTTCCCGCGCTTCGCTATCCCAGTGAGGATGGCCGTCAGCCATGTGGAGGGCGCGTCGAGGCTATCTACACACTCCTGAAAGAGCACCGTTGCGTATGAGACCCGATCGCCTCCGACGGTGGAGCGACGTGAGTGCAGGCGGATGTGCTCTTTAGCATCCGCGATCTCCTCAAGGGTCCACGGTCGCGCAAAGAACTCCTGCTCTGGGGGCGTCGGTGTGCGCTCCGGCAGTGCCTTGCACCACAGTCTGTTCGCCGCATATCTGATCGCATCGAAGTCGTCAGGTAGCTCGACAAGTGGGTTCATCCGTGGTGCGAAAGCGAGTCTAAGCTCATCGACGGACACCCTAGATGGGCGAGGTGCAGCTGAGGTGCAGGGTCAACCATCCCTCGGAAGGCTTTCCAAAACGCCGCATCCGACTTCCCCGGATCCAGAAGGGCGCGGATGTGTGCACGACGCAACCTCTGCAATGGAAGCCCGAGCCACGGCCGGACTTCCATACGGTGAATCTGCCTGATAGTTCCACCTGTGCGGTTCCCACTTCAAAAGCAGCGGAAAGGTGGAGTATCAAGAAGCGGTTGGTTGATAGGCGGCAAAAAGCCCTCCTTGAGGAGGAAGAAGCGTCCGTCCCAGTTGATCGGATGATTGGTCAGCAACGTAAACCGGCGTGCTCAGTGAATCAGTCGCCGACAACTGTATGTATCTTCTAGAGAATGGAGGTCGACGTGACTAATTGAGTGTCGTGCATGATGATAAAGGAGCGGCCCCGGTTCCTCGAGTCAAGAAGATATCAACAAAGCTCAAGGTGATGCAGCGCATCCGTCATTTCTGCACACATGGAAGCATCACGCTCCGAGCCTCGGAGCTTCGAGCTGCAACGACGCCGAGGTGAGATCTTATGATTTGGAAACCATAGCGTCGAATGGCCGTGATGAGTTGGCGTGAGTTTACTGAATCATCGTGATGAAGCGCCGCTGAACTGTGTCCAATAATATTCAGCGTCATGCGATAAATGTAGCAAATGGCTCAACGTATCCAGGATATCCAAGTTCCAAAAAAAGAAACACGACACTGTGCACCTTAGTGTTCGAAGCCTGAGGTTCCCATGCGTTCTCGTGCCAGCCTGATTGTCTACGGGGTGGAAGACGGTGAGTCTCGTCCCTTGTTCTGTATCTTCATCGAGACTTCTCTATACATCGGAGCCGACGCTTAACAAATTCGTAACTCCAGCGATGAACTCGGCCTGGGCAGGCGATGTCCTTCGAAATCTAGGCCTTTGGCCACACACTTCACGTTGGCCCATCTTAAGTTCGAGTGACAGGTGAATGAACTGTATTTCTGTCCTGAAGCTGTTGCGGTGCGCCCACGGACTTCTGTCATGATTGAGCGACTTCCGCAGCCTGACAGTGGTTCGTGCCGAAGCCTGCTACTAAGAACTAACCGGATGCGCTACAGTATGCGCCTTCCTGAGCCAACTATGCCATGGTAATATCTCCCTGTTTTGTCGCACTGGTCTCATCAGACTAAACGATCAGAATACCTCAAGCCCGCCTCAAACGTCTCCTATGTTCACATATACCCGCTCGGATCTGTCATTCTTTGTATCTATGGGTGTCCCAGGTCCTGCAGGTGAGCAATGCAGTGCTTGTCTGTACGAAATGATGCTGGAGCAGCGGAGACATATATGTGCGTCCTCCAGTATACGTGGTCACAGTTACTACACGTCGGACCTAAGTTATGATCTTCCTGGGCCCTGCACAAAGTAGCCTTCATTCAACCGCGCACATAGCGTATACATTATTTCTCTTCACGAAGTCTGACATCAAGACGACAGTCATACCTGTGGTCAGTCTCCTTTCGTCGATGCACCCATAGCTCACATGTGTTCATAGACATGTTTTGCGATTGCTGCTGCGCCAGTGTTGCAAGTTCGATGCATTCCACACGCGGTCTTCTGGATCTGGATTCACCTCTTGCAATTCGATGTTTCCAACCAGACCTTGAGACCGGAAGAAGACCTCCTCAACAAAAAGTATCGACCAATCCCGTCGAAACGCATCCAGATCCGGACGGCCTTAGTCCTTCGCTGGGTGCTCGTCCCCGTCTGTTTAGCCATTTCCTGGCTGTACAGCGCGGAGGTCTTATGCGCTAGCGTTGCTCTCATATTATTGACAACCATCTACAACGAGATGTCCGCTCATAGCAAGGGCTGGTTGATCCGCAATCTGGTCAACGCGGCTGGATTCGCATCGTTCGAAGTTGGTGCTACTCTGGTGGCCAGTGCGTGCATCGTCTAAATTTCAAAGTATGCCATCTCATAGCTTGGTAGCTCGCGATCATGACGCACTCGATTGGGTAGCACGCACGGCGGTGTATATGAGCGCGGGGATCTTCGCGTCCACCATCCACACCCAAGACTTCAAGGACGTCCCGGGGGACTCCTCCGTGGGCAGGAAGACAATACCGATCGTATTTCCGAGGGTTGCTCGGATAACGCCAATGATTGGTCTTCTTTTTTGGTCACTTGTCTTGACGTCTGTGTGGAGGGTCGGATTCCGCACGTCCGCCGCACTCTTCACTGTCGCCTTGATCGTTGGAAGTCGATACCTCAGACTGCGGACGGTTGCAGAGGATCAAGTGTCTTTCTACTGGTACAATGTACGTCGAATCAGTTAAATGTTGGCAGGAACCTGACATGGGATGGTACAGGTTTGGCTCTCGTTCGCCCACGCGCTTCCGGGCTATTATAGAATGTACAATGGACATTGACGTGGACACCGTCGGCTAGCTCACTCGAATAGTCTGCCGTGTGAATGCAATTTCATGATGTCTACATAGATTCGTATTGAGTGTACTCAGCGTCAACTCAGGAGTCCTGTTTCCGGAGAAATCCCGCCGATGTAGTCGCGATAAGTTCTGGACCGTCCAGTGGCAACACCGGTTGCATGCTCATTCAGGAGAAGCACTGCTGGTGGCAGGATCGTCGCCGGAAATGCTCTGTAGCATCACTATGTTCAACCTTGACTCGGAGTAGTAAACAGTCCCTTACACGTCATTCACCGTACGATGATCGAGACCAGCCAATCAGTTCTGCAGCCGGTAGCGCCTCAGGTCTCAAGCTCAAGGCCTCAAGCTTCAAAGCTTCAAAGCTTCAAGATTGGCACATCATGACCCTACGCTGTTGATTGAACTTATCGGTATACTCTTGGGCCGTTGGTAAAACGCCACGCACAACGCTGTCCTCATTCGGTAGGAGGGCATTCTCAGAGAGCGCTAGTACATGCATGCCCCAGAGAGGGTCGTGCTTGATCGCCACACGCACGAAGAGCTAGAGCGGCGGATCCGACGTGTAGCTCAGAGCCATTCATGGGCTACTTAGTATATGCGCATCCGACGGTAAATACACCGCGATGGCTCTGAGGAGGTATGACCTTGCTACTGTATACAGTCATGGTACGTACAGTACTAGGCTGTCACTATTGGAGCGCAAACAGCCGACTTCTGAAAAAGAGAGGCTGAAAACAGACGAAGGTCGGCCGCCGTGATGTCTCCTTCAGCGATATGGTCAAACCGTCTAACTGGCACTTGTACTCTGCAGCGTCGTAACCGTACCCGCAGGTCACAGAGTGTTACAGCCGTGACGCGACGCGCCGGACGCGCGTCATCCACACGCCGCTCCTCCGCGACTCGGTCCTCCTCTCGTGGTTCCTCAGCTAGTATTATTTGTCTTTGCTCAGTGTTATACCACTATGTCTGAGTATCGGGAGCTTGTGATGTGGTATCTCACCATCACACACTGGATCGAGGCCACGCAAGCTGCGGGAACTCGACCTGAGCTTCAGACAAATCCAGCCGCCACGTCCTCAATTCAATGCCGCGCTTTTCACTCTTGCCCCAGCGCTATTCGGCCACCACCTTTCGATTTACGCCTTTCGACCTCTGACCTCTGAAACCTCGAAAAGTTTGACGCTTTGATGTCGTAGTAGCCCTTCTAGTACCGCGATGGCACTGTCCGGCATTTGCATGGACTTCGCGCAGACCCGAGACCGTCTCCTTCCTCCGACAGGCAGCCTCTGGACCCACGAGTGCGCCTTCATTCTCACGGAATATAGCGCAGTGAGGACTTTATACCACCCATCAAAAATATGTCGAGCGACGGGACGCTCCTAACATGCATGATGAGCAGACACATTCGAACACTTGTCGGCGCTAACTGGAGTTGACAGATGACATATAGCCCCAGTGATGGCCAGGCCGTTTAGCATCGAAGACATGCACAATTAGCAGATGTTATGAATGTTGAGCGGCATGTATGCTGAACAGCGTCACAGAATGTCAGGTTTCGCACGGACACCAGGGACACCTTCGAGTCTGCCTTCTAGTTGAGATGCCCACAGTTGGCCGATCTGAAGTACCTTTGTGTTTGTTTCGTCGAACGATGCTCTTGTATCTGACGACGACGTTCTCAGAACACCAGGTCCGACATGAGTGGCAGACTAGGCATTAGTACGTTCGATCATTCCGCCTTAGATATCAGTCTCTAAGAACAGATTGTTACAGATGCTATATCTTCTGCACTGCTACAGCAGTGAGCATCGCAGTGTGGTAACGTCACCTTAGGAGCATTTGCTACCTCCGTGTCGCTCGTGCTACGACCTCAGGAACTTGGCGTCCAGATCAGAGCACAGGTAATGTGACGCGAGCTGTTTGCTTCTCCTCGTCACGCCACAAACCGGGAAGATGTAGCCCGGTCCATTGAGGCTTACGGTCATGAATTGGATTCTGGGGTACCCTTCTATAACTGCGATGATTGATACTCCACGGACAGAAGCGAGAAACTGTCCACCGTAATGTACTTGGCCATACACAGAAGCAGATAGAACTAACTGCAGAAGCCCAGGCATGTCATAATTTCACTACAGTTCCCGGAGGAAACAAGAGCTTATCGGGGGCCGAAGTCGCAAGATGACCAGGCGCGTGCGTATTAGTGTGACTATGACGTACAGTCTTTCTGAGACTTTTTGTAGGCAGTGCGAGCTGGATCTGTCACAGTTCTCCTTTCGAGCCTACTCTTCAATCACATAAGATGACGCCAGGATCCGGAAAGCGGTCCTCAAGCATGTTGAAATGTTAATGATCGATGCAATACATGACTGCTGCCGGTGATTCAGGCAATATCACGTACGTTATCATTTCCAGTGACCTGCTTGCCCACGTGTTGTACTTGTCACTAACATCCGTAATGACGCTTGTTGTCGCCAGCTGGCAGCAGAGACTCGAGCTCTCACCGTAAATCCTACTTTTCTCATTGGACAAGACCGCATACGGCTCGGCATATCAGCACGAGCTCCGGCCCAGTCTTCGGCGCGAGCGCAGTCAGATACAGTGAACCAGTGACTACACCGCTACCGTGATTATCAAGGAAGATGATACAGCCTGGGTATATATAACGAGTGTCTTCAGATAGCGGATGAGACATCATTGAAGCGCGAAAATTCTCCGTACTACACCATGAACGCAACCTCAACTCCCGACAATCCGATTGTGCTCAATCTTCAGAATTCATATGGCGCACTCATGATCGGGTCCTTCTTTTCGTGCGCTGTTTGGGGCATGTCATGCCTTCAAGTGTGAGTACCAGTGACTTCGTGAGACGGTTTATCGAAGGGCTGACGCACCAATAGTTGTTGGTACTTTTACCAGTAAGGCACATACTTCATCTCAACATACGTCGCTCATCATGCATCACCCTCAGCTATGGTTCTTCTGACCGACGCAGTCTTAAACTTCTTGTAAGATAGTCGCCGGTACAGTTGTCTGCGTGGCATTGCTGAATGGTCTAATCTTCAGGTCGTCTTTTTGTGGTAAGCTTCCTCATAGAGTGATATTCCGTGCAATGGCATGCAAAACAGCACATACACAGTATCGCAAGCACCGTCGATGAAATTTTACTCTTGGAGTGCAGTGAGTACCAAGTCACGAAATATGAACTGGACATTCAACCCGTGCGCAAAGTGTGGCCGGTGTTGATTCTACGGTGGGGTAAAGTAGAAGGGCTTTCCGTTATTCAGGAGTAAGTATGCAAGCTGGTAACGGTGCGAACACATGTAATTGACCCTTTGATCTGTAGAGGCATGGTGGTGGGTTTCAACGTTATCTTTGGCCGCATAGAGCAGTGATGATATCATCGTCCACAGCAACACGTCTGGCTAGTCGTGAGTAACAATAATGCGCGATTCGAGACGGCTCACGCATGAATCGCCTGTATCAGGGAATGATTTCGGTCTGCGTTCAATGGTTTTACCTCTATCGTATCTATCGATGTAAGTTTCATTCGGTTCAGCATACGATTTACCTACTCACGGCATCACAGTCAGCGGAAAGCGATGGCTTATTCCCTCCATCATTGTATATTCCCTTCCCCTAGCAGTGGTGGAGCATGCTGAATTCTACTCAATTCTACTGTAGGCTGTCATATCGCTCTGGCAGTTATGTAAGTCCTTTTTCTCGACGACGCGTACAGTGAATTCATACCAACTGTAGTTGTGTCGATCCGTGCGTTTACGCATGTTAACTATCTGGCGCACGCTACTGATACTACCCCTCGGGTTCTAGCACAAAATATCATAATGTACGAATTCTCTTGCGCTCTGCTGCGATTCTCGCTGACTGGACATGGATGCAGACATCGCAATCACGAACTTGCAACGTTGTCATTAGGTCCTTCCGTTGTACGTATTCAAGTCTGTAGACATGGCATGCTCGATAACAATTGTCTTCACAGGCATTGAACATCAGCCTTCGAGCCTGCAGCGCATGTGTCGATATCTTCATTGCAGTAACCATGTCCTACTATATGATCAAACAAGGCGTACCTGAGCTCTCCCAGTACGTTGGCCACTGTACGAGAAGTTGTTGCTACTCACCAGCCATATATATGTAGTAGCCAGAAGATGTACTTCAGACTCTTCCTGATGACTATCAACACGGGTATGTGGACCGCAACCATCGCGACGCTGGACTTCATCTTGGTATAACATCGTTTGTTATCTCACCTAAAACTACCACTTATGCATTTGACTTGTAGATGGCGATATATAGGGATGACCTTTGGTATGCGATCTTCGAGTCGCCCCTTGGCTCATTCTACGTCGGTGTCCTCCTCGCCAATCTCAATGCAAGGGAATTCATTCGAGGAAGTGAAGAGATTTGGCATGACATGTCTACATTCAGAATAAGTAGCTTCCCTCCGGCGAGTCACAACACCATACCCGCCGATGGTCGCCTGCCAGCACTTTGTGTCACGGCGCAAGCTGGCGTAAGTCCTCTCTATTCATGAACATCATCTCTGTGCCAACCACCATTCTAGGACACGATGATGGTCAATCTAGCCCACGCGAATGGCAAGGAGTCCCAGGATGAAAATGCAGTGACTGCGGAGGAAAGTACTCCCAAACTTACCGTATGTGCACCCATCCCGCCAGAATTGTCCAATAACTGATGTGAGGGTAGGATCATGCGCTGTAACTTGCATACGATGGTTTCATGGGGGTGATGGGTGAGAAGGAACGTGCAAAGGAGCTAGGCCCCGTTACAAACAGCCGATGAGGATCGTTACGAGGGAAAGACAGAGTTATGACCTCCGGTGATTAGCCAGATGCGAACCGAAATCGTTTCATGCTGTTATACATCCGTTCGCATTGTGATATGTACATCATTGCATCCGGTGTCGTTCCTCCAAGGACCATTGCAGAGACTGGATGTATACTTTCGATATTGATGGAATTGAGTCGGGTGCCTGGGCGGGCTCGCAAGCTGCAGTCGGCCCTGTCAGTCGACAGACCGGTGCCAGCCAGACAACAAGATGTAAATGTCAATAGTGCACCTCTTAGATCATGACGAGTCGTGGCTGCGAAAGCCATGACGCTCAGAACATGCGGGAGTACTGATCCTGGTGGTGATGAGCAGCACCCATGACCGTTTGTGACGAGCAAGTAAGAGGCATGGAGAAAAATATCGTCATTCAATCCCCAAACATATGCTATAAAACACATCGCGACCGTCGAGTACACATGCACAAATGCAGTTTCTCTGCCCTCGGGGTAGTTGACTGAACTTCCACGCATTCACAAACAACAAAAATAACGTACGGAGTTGGATTGTCTCCTCCGGGCATGATCACGCACTTTGAACACACAACATCATTTATGAGCTTGGGTGAGCAAAAGCGCTGGAATTCGACCTACGTGCACCGACATTCGTACCCAAAAGAGTGAACCGCACTGATCGTGTTGCTGCTCATCCCTGGCTAAACCTGTCAGCGCGATGGTCACCAGCGCGAAGTACTTACATGGAGCTGCCGTTGGTAATGTCGGCGGCAGCAAAGAGTACTACCAATTGCTGAGGATGACGAGGATGGTCGAGCCCTTGGGGATGTCTGACGACTCATGTCAGCGTACGTTGTCTCAAACACTGCATATACCAGCCCTGCGTACGATCGTCGAACCATACAACGTCCCATCAGAGGTGCAAAGACACGAGCCACAAGGCCCATGCTTATATGAAGGTCAAGACATGTACCGACGCTTGAACTCGCGTCAAGTGCCCTGCAGTACCGCTACTGCAAGGACGCGCAACGCAACGAGCATCGGGCAGTATTCAACTGTCAAGTTACGCATAGCGTGGGCCGGACGCTGCCCCTTGTCATGGTGAGGCGCGAGAAGCACTCGATGCTACTCAGCACACGCATGCACAGGGCGAGTAAAGAGTAGCAAGGACGGGGCCGACGGGGTCTGCGCCGCAATTGCGTCGTGAGGCGATGCAAAGCACATGGAGGAAGGCATGTCATGGGGACCGTCGAGTGGGATCAATGTATCGCCGTCGTGGGGATGGCGGGACGTTCTGAAGGTTGACGGTCGCCTCTTCGCGGAAGACGTGGCTATAGGCGCAAGCGCAGATAGGTATTCTGGATCCATCTAGTGGCAGAGGGAGCGACACTTCGCCCACACCGAATTCAAAACGACTCTGAGCGAGATCGTCGTCCTAGGTAGCACGCCGGTCGAGTGTCGGGCAGCTGATGTTCAGTAAAGAGCATCACTTCCCGAAGCAATGGTGATTTGATGTTTGCGGCGCTCGAGCTGCCCGTCCACTCGTAGCAGCACCGTGAACCCAGCATTGTGTAGCGGCCTGACGCTCGTTAACAGCCTCCACGATGGATGTGCGTGGTGCACCTTGCAGAGACAATTGAGTACGCGGGTAGGCGAGAGGTGCTGTTCACGGGACCGTGTGCTCTGTTCTCGTGGATGCGCGCCGTGCTTCCTGGGTGGCATAGACGAAGTACGCCGGTTAAGGCTTCATCCTGAGATCCAGCTGGCGAGCCAGTCCATACACAGGGTGGTGCATTAGAGTGTGTGGCGAGATCTGCGCCGCGTAGATGTAATCGCTTCGAGGACGACCAGATCGAGTCGGTCGATTATGTTTTGTCGGACCACGAAACTGTAGAGCAATGTCAGTTCAAGCGAAAGTCGATTACAGCAAAACCTACCTTCTCACGTCTGTAATCTACTTTGAAATCCTCTCCGTTCTCACGGCGATAGATGACGTCCACCGATGTCGAGGGATAGTAGAACCAGGAACCGACGCCATATGGCATTCACGAACAATACCAGCGTGGCCATGAAATGACTCAGGCTAATGGAAGAAAAGAGAGAACGAGTTCGGCGTCACCATGATGCGTCTGCGGGAGCTTCCCGTCACGAGTCAACGACCATCAAGTCGTACACCAGCAAGAGACAAAGCCAGCGAAGGTATGTGGGGCCGTCGTGAATGGTGTGGGTACTGAGCGGGAGACGACGCATCGCTGCGTGTGATCAGCGTAGTCGCGTAGACGGCGGCCTGTTGTCCAGTTATTCGAGGACGTGTCACGAGCGGTCGTTGAAGACGAGCGTCGGGAAGCCGCTGTGAAGGGCACCATTCACATGAGTGTACGCGACGTCGATCCTGGTTGTCGTGATGCAGTCAAGGGGCGTGACGTCAGTGGTCGAATCTCGCGATGGCTTCACATCGTGCACCTTGTAAATATGTTTGGGTGTGCAAGGCGCGCCATTCGAGGGCCCGTCTGTTGGGTTGCAGAAACTGTGCATGACCCTGCCAAACGTGCTGTACCATACACCAGTCGAGTGGGCGCCCTTGGTGGGTACTGGGGGTGACTCCGAATACCGAGGACATCGTGTTGCACCTATGCCTACCGCCACGCTTCCCCCATCCACTGATCAAGCTTTCGCACTCAACGCGATGCTTGACACTGCTCCCGCGTCGACAGGAACTTCGAACTGATTCGCCAGTGATGCCATACGTGGCATGCAACCTTTCCGGCTATCTGGAAGGGACTGCGCGGTGCTGCGTGGTACGACCATCGCAGCCACTGCGGAAACATGCGCATCCGAGCGTTGGACATGCGGACCAGATTGTTGCGGGCAATGGCGTAGTTAACCACTGTCGATGAGGTGTGACGCCTTGGAGCGGGTCCATCTACGCGGCAACGCCGAAATTGTCTTGAACCAACAGCACAAGTCGATTATTTGCGATGTCGTGGGAATAGCTTTGAGAGAAAGTCGGTCGAGGATGTGAGACGGTGTGCGCGCAAATCATACCATTTTACGCCTCCCAACTCCATGGACAGCTTTCCCGTCCCTGCTAGCGACATATGGCGTGCACCTCTGAGTAGCAGGGCGAATGATGCAACAGTGACCGTGGTAGGTTGTCATTCTGCGGAATCGGACGTCTACGAAGGAGTTCAGTCCGATGTCAGGGACAGCAGAGCTTCGGAATACCTTTGAACTGGCCTGGTTGTCATTGAGATCATGTCCAGCGATACTTACTGCTTCTGGTGCCACAGAACGAAGTTCAATGTCAGACCACAGAGGCATAACCATGTGGCCACTTACCGGTGTATCCCGCTCAGCCTCTACTCAACGATCGCTCATCCGCTCTGCCGTACTTAGGCCCCAGGTGGTAGCATTGCGTTACTGCAACGTTATACGCGTTGACGATGCAACTAGAATAGATGAGCATGACGGAAGATGGCTGTTCAGAATGCAGCAGATATACGGCGTCCAACTTGCGAGGAGAGCGCGAACAAATTGTGAAGCAGTCGGTCTCAATGTGAATAACTTTGACAATAATTGACCAAGGGAGAGCCGACCCCATTGTGGGCAGGTAGCGATCAGTGTAGCGTGCGAGTACTCAGTCAAGAGGGGGAGGCGCCACTGGCAGGAAGGAAGAGGAGGGGCTCAGAAATGCCCGGCCTCGGACTAAGTATCGGGCAACCGTACGCGTTCGCGCCACCGACGCGCCACATCATCGTGTCGCGCACCTTCTGCCTCTTCTGTCATGTCCTCACTAGCTCACACAACACTTGTTATATGCGCTTTGTAACACGACCTCTGGATTTTACGCGTCAAAATCAGCAAGATGGAAGCTCTAGCAAGGCAGCAATGCGCGAAGAAGCTTGCCAGAGCGCCCGCTTGTACTGCAATACTTACTTGGACAAAAACGATGATATACCAACGCCTCGACGACCTATGAGGGGGGGGGTGGGCTACTAGTACGACTTACTAGGAGATCACTGGAAGGAGTTGAGGAAACTACAACGCGGTGAGTTGTGCCTACGTCTGGGCTGCGCAACCAGGAAGAATCGATGAGCAGTCACAGTGAACAGAACACTTCTCTACTTATACTGGAGGCCTTCGTGAATTTCATGTACATGTTGAACCAACGACTCCCCGACGCTTGTGAAGGACGACCGGTCACCCGCCTGGGACGACGACTTCGCCTGGATCCTTATCTGCGACCGCTCAGGCTAGGCGACGTACGACGTCTTCTGACACCAGACGGGCACAATTCACTGGCACCACGATCACGTCCTCTACGAAGAGGCGTTCGTTCACCTGAACAACAACCCGCTCGCGACTGAGTGGTTCACACAGCGATGAGTCGTCTCTTCGTATCCGCGCTTCACACTGCCAACTACGGCGCCACAGAACTTCGCTGTCTTCTCTCTGGCTGGCGTACGGCTACTTGCGCCGATCCACACTTGCCGCAGGTCTGGTGAGTAGATAGCTCTGACAGCTCGCATTCGAATCATCTTGAGGCAAACCATGAAATCGCGCCAAGGTACGTATTAGTCACACGATTTGCAGCTGGCACTGTTGATGTATAACCGACAGTTCTCGGGATCATGATTGCGTATACTGAAGGGGGCGGCTGCGGGGCCCAAGGACGTGATTTCCACATATGTGGGTACCAATCAATGTTTGCGAGAACAGTCAACATGCGCTGGTCATGCTCTGATCACAGATATTCACAACAGAAGCTCCGGTTCACCTAAGGTCCGCCGGTCGCTTTCTCCTGCTCCTTTACACAGCATGACAAGTTACAGGGTACACTTGAGCGCTGGAATACGTCCGTTACGGCGAAGTGGAATCACTGGACTCGGTGCTATCAACAACGCAGACGTAGGGGGTGGACCTCAGGCTCGTCGTGAGTATGCTGCCCGCCTCTGCGCTACCTTTTCGATGGCTCTGGGATTCAGTTGACGGTCCATTCGCGTGACTGCATCCATATGTCTCGGTCTTCTGTTAGCGGGCAAACCTCCCTCCGATTCGGATCCAGCTAGGGAGGACACAACTTCTCAAGAATGTCCAAGAATGTCGGTGCCTTAAGCGAGGAAGCGAATGAAAGGGAGCCTGCCGCGAACGCTGGGCCAGTAGAGCTAGACCAGGCCGTTCAACGTTTATGCCACCCTTTTGGACCGCAGTAACATATATCTTCTCGTTCAGGCCTTCCTGACTGGCCTCGTGCTCTGGGTTCCCAGCTTTCGCAGAGCGGAAGAGCGTGGACCAGCAACTTTCGCTCTACAGCCTCGCCATCTTGTATGTTTCGAACGCACTCTAGATTGCACTTCACGCTTCTTGAATGTTCGACGTCATATGGACCGGTACTCTTGGCGATATTGTGCGTGTCCCGCCAGATGATGAATGCTGAAGCGTTAACACCTCGGCATCGTAGCTACGGCTTGTGTTCGTGAACTGGTGATGCGCTCACCATATCTTTCGTGCGCACGTCAGCTGGCCATCCGCACCAGATGTATCCATCTTCCCCCGTCTGTGGCATTGATCAGCGCCGAAGGTAGGACCGTCCGTCCCTCTCGCATCTTCGCGATCGTAACTACCTCTTCCGCAGACAACACATGGATATCGCCTTCTTGCACAGCGAAATTCAATCATTATCGGCACATCTAGCGGAGGACCTTGGATAGGGCATGACTACGTGCGGTGGAAGGGTGTGCAATAGTCTTTGCAGCGGTCAGTCTTCGCCCCCCCCCCCCGCTCTGGTAGCGCCATGTACATGCTGACGATCTCATGCTAGGCGACTGGGCTGGCAGGCAATGCTATCGTAGGGCCCATTCTACTCACTCGGCCGCGCAAGTCATGAGAACTCGAGATTATCCCCGCCATCAAGCCTGTTGCTCCGTGCCGTGGTTTTGACCATTCAGGTGAGAACCCTCGCTCTCGCCGACTCAATTCTCATGTGTCCACTGGCGGAAACAACGCTTCATTGGCACTGAAGGCCGTCGCGTGAGGTATATCCTCAATCATCCGCTACGACGTGTGTCGAGCTTGCGAGCCGACACAGACAATGCACGGTTTATCAGGATCATGTGCATCATGTGCGGAAGACGGAGCGCGTGGAGAGCGGAAGACGGAAGGAGCCTTTGAGTCGTTGAGAGCACCTGAGCGAGGCGTAACACGAGAGGTGCGCGAACGATCACTTCAAGTGCGAGTGTCAGACTCGATGACTCCATCGGAGACGGTTGACGCGAGTTACTAACTGGTCTGCGAGAGCCCGAGCGCAACCCCATTAGATATGCGTAGATACTAACATGAGTCGTTAGTATTGGGAAAAGGTCACGAATGGAAAACTACTACGAGTCAAGGAGTGACCAGCGTACTAGTAAGTGGTCTTCTCGATGTTCAACCTGTACCAGCCAGTATCTGCGCACCGTGTATAAACTCAACGGGACAGAATCAATGGTTGTTTTAGTTCGGAACTTAAAGGGATGGTGTCAATATTCGTAAGCAGTATTTGTAAACTTGACAGAGCACGTGTGAGTGCCACTGAGCCATGACATTATGCACTCACAGTTGCTGGTCACTGTACTGTTTCCCTAAGTGACATTCACCACTACAAGCCAATTTTATGTGCCAAACAACATCAGATACAAAACATCATCAATTTGACTGCATCAGAACCTCAGAATATCATACATCTGTACACTGTCAAGACCACTCATGCTGAGCATCATTGTCATATACACAAACCAGTAGCAAGATGTCAATGAGCTCAATGGGGGATAATCAGATCACACCCTTGATGATATCTGCAGCTGTTTTCATGATGTAAATGTATTGGCATCACCTGTATAAAACCTTGGTCATATACCTTGTTCTCCAATGGCATAGGTTAGTGCTAAGAAATAAAAACAATGAGACAAGTCACTACAGAGAGTATACAACATACCCTGTGTGTGACTCCCCACATTGAGGGGTACAATGGACAGATCAACAACACGTATGTTGGTAGTGTGGTATACCTTCAAGTTGAAATTGGTAAGCATGCAGCATTTATATAGATCCTGGCTCTCAGTGTAGTAAAGCTCACCCTCAGCTTTGCATCAACAACACCACCATCCTCCAATGGCAACATGCTGCATGACCCTGTTGTATCTGTTGGGCATTAGTCTCAGTTGCCATTAGCAAGAAAATGTATACTCACGATAGGTGGTATTCACAACATTCCTGAGCCAATCTACAGAAACATATCAGTGTCTGTTGGGGCTATATCACTCATTAACATACTGGCAATCTGCTCATCACTCTGCACAGTTGGCCCAGGCATGACTTCCTCTGTAAATGTGATTAAGATTGGCTTGCCAATATCTTCCTATCATGATTGTATGCTTACCAGCCAATGTCTCCTTGAATGGAGGAGTTTGTGCCAATTGTCTGTTGAACTTGACAAGCTCAACCATGGACTGGATGTCTATCCTCACTTGTCAGTCAATTGAAAAATTCATTATTGACATATATCTCACCATATGCCTCATCATACAGGTTAGGGTCAATGAGAGGATGCTTCAATGGGTCACTGGAACCAATGTGCTGTATAACTTGGTAAGTACAGAACATACTGCTGAAGTATGATTCTCACTATTGTTCCCCTGGAGAATGGACTGTTCAGAGCCAAACCAAGTGTGATATGCTTCTGGTTGACATCTGGCTTCTCTGCAAGCAATGATGAGAATGAAACAATATCATAAATCTAAGTCACTGGATAGCATACCGGGACGAACAATTGGGCGTGGCAGAAGCATGATTTCAAGACTCGGGACATGATCACGGATATGTTTCAGCTGCAACTCGTACTGCTTGCGAAGGCCGCTGTTGTATACGTTCTTCTTGATACCGTCGAGGATAGTGTCCGAGAGCGTGCGCTGGAGTTTGTCCGCATCTACGCAGACGCTATTGAGCGGTAGAAAAGTGAGACTTGTCGTCCAGACGTTAAGTGCCCCTTTGCCGCTTGCGCTACCACCACATGATGTTTATTCAGAATGACCATGCGGCATGAATGAGAATGTGAACGTACTGGAGCGCAATGTGCTTCGGAGCTTCCGCGGGATTCATCAAGGGATCCATGGTTGTTACAGGGCGACCATCCACCACGAAGTCCTTAACACCTGTATGCACAAGCATAAGACGAGCTTTAGCCACGGAGGACTTGAAAGTCTTTACGATATATCACCCCCGACCACAAGTGCTCCTGAACGTTGGCGCCGACTCCTGGAAGCTCGCACTTGACCTCGACACCTGCCTGATTGAGTACGTGATGATCGCCGATACCGGAGAGTTCGAGAATCTGAACACGAGATATGGTGAAAACGGGTTCGAGCATCAGCGCATTGCCCATCGTCATACCTGCGGAGACATGATCGTGCTGTGTTGCCAGTGGACATACATCCCATCAGCGCCGTGTCGACACATGATGAGGAAACGTACCCGGCCGACAGGCACACCTCCTTAGAAGCATGTACTACATGGTTGCTACCTCCGTGAATGAAGTAGACACCGGTCGCTGTCAAAGTCCCTTCCGCGTTACGCCGAGTCACAATACTCGCCACATGAGCGGAGACCAAGACGGTCAGGTTGTGCCTAGCTGCATTGGGCGCATAGTAAGACTACCGTATGCGTGTAAGTTAGTCGGTACATACGACGAGAGTCAAACTCACATTAGCGGCGTAACTACGCAAGTGTGTCTTCGGATCCAGCGTGGAAGCCGTCACCGAAGTCCCGTTTGTCTGGCGACGTGATTCTTAGGTCAATCATACATAACTGCATGCCAAGCACACTTACAGATCCTGACGACTGCGAACGGCGATATGCCCCATGAGTTATATTAGTAGACACAATTATGCCAGGAGAGAAGCTCACCGCTTCTCGGATGCGTTCGATGCCAAACGTCTGCATGGCCTAGTTGCCAAAACGGTTCAGTCAACTGGTACGTTCGACACATTTTGACGGGAACTGATATCACCTCGATGAAACGCCGCTCAAGTTGGGAGATTGTAGTCGGAAATGACACAGGGACCGGACCTAGAACATATAAGTCTGACCATAAAGGAGCATGTCTACAGGGATGAGACATGCCTGATGTTCCACGGTGTTTGAGATCATATGTCAAGTAGTCGCGGTCATGGTCCGGGGCCGTAAATCTAGTACAACGTAAGCAACAGCCACTAGAAGTGTTTAAGATACTTACTGCTCTGCCCGCTTGGAATACTTGTCGAAACTCTCCCAATTCCACCCTTCATTTCCCAGCTCCTCGAACGCTGGCAAACAGGCATATATGTGTCAGAATATGTGGAACGAGGCTGAGCTGCCATACCGTCAAGGAACTCCCTAGCAGGCTTGTTCCATAGCAAAAAATTAATCGCTGAGCTCCCACCGAGCCCCATTCCACTGGCGAGGTATCGGTGTGAGAAATCAAGTTATCATCAACGCCTTACCGTGGCCATGAATACTCCCTTCCGTTGGAATGTTCTTGTTTGACCTGACAACGGTCGTCAGCGAGACGTATACAACAATAGGAATACCATTACCGTCTTAAAGCCCCAGTCATATTTCGGATTGTTTATGTGCACCATTCCCTGCCCAGGAAGTACTGAAATGGTTGTGAGCCTTGAAGCGACGGATACGGTGCATCTGACTCACATATCGCTCTGTCGTCGAGGTTGGCCTCACCCGCCTCCAGTACTAAGACCGACACAGAAGCATCCTCGGACAGACGTGAGGCAACCACCAAACCCGCTGTCTGCAATGTACGGTTACTATCTCGTACATGAAGCGTGTAGTGCAAGACACATCATCAGTACGTACTCCTCCGCCTGGTAGAGCATTAGTCGTACTATCTCTTCACAAAATGAAGCTACTCTCACCAATCACTATGTAGTCAAACGTCTTGTGTTCTACCTGCGTGATGTTCGCTAGCATGCCGCACAGACCAAATCTCGACGAGATACAGGACGCGTTACAGAAATGCTGGGGTACTTATGAGGTCGAGGACGAGACGACCGAGAGAACGCAGTAGACGCACCACGCTACAAAGAGGGATATGGAAGCGTGTTTGGCCAACTGAGAGCAACCCTCGAAGAAGCAACGCTTCTGTCAGCGACATCTTGCAACTCTCGGTGGCCGGCTCACCAAGAATATCACGTCGAATCGTCGCGCAAAGATTTCTCGCAGTAGATCCGGCTTCGTTTCCTGTGAGGACATATCGCTGAGCATCCAATCGCCATGCGTCTAGTGCGGAACGCGATCCACCGCCTCGAGCCCTTCCCTAAGGGTCGTGCAGGCTGTCTATCGTGATAAGGAATGAACGCACTGGGTAATTGATTCCGAAAGCCGATCGAAGTCATCAACGCACCGTGAGGATAGCAGAACTCTGTCTTGTGCACGCCCAAGACGTGCACAAAGGGCGAGAACCGCGGGACTAACAGAAGTCCTGTCCGACAGAGCGCGCCCAAGGCTACGGTTCACTGATCGGAATCTGACATGGAACCATATGATCAACTCTGAATTTATAAACCGGGTCATAGAGCCAATCCAGATTGACAACTCACTGCTTCTGCAAACACGAGTGCCGTACCGTATCATCATCATAACATGACATATTGGCATATGATACGCCACGCCGGCGCGGGAGACTCGGGCCAGGTGGCCAGTGCATTCGCCCTACGCGTCCGTATCAGCAGTGAACATGTCGACGGTAGTACCACGGCCCACCTCGCTCACGTCGTTCGAAGCTACCTCCCTGAAATCAGTGCGGTACGCTATTTCCACTGGAGGACCTGAGGCCTGATCACTGAACCACTGATAGACGAGTACAACAGTCTGGAAAAGGGCTGGCTGAATGCGAGGACGTGCGAGATGGTTATTTCGACCACAAGGATCCGATTGTCATCCCCAGTAATCGGTGTGTGCACTTCTAATTTCACTCTCCCGACTCGACAGCCACTTGTACCTCTCAGCTCGCCCGATACGTAGACATAAGACGTAGATGTCAGAGGAGGAACACGCACATGGTAAGACTGGGCATCTTGCAGCATGACCCGATGCCCTTTTGGCTATACATCGTCTTCATGAAGGACACGGCGACCAGACAGCCACCGTCCTGTGTGCGCATTAGACGAGAAGGGGACGGTGTATATCGCGAGGTGGACAGCTACGCACGAACCTGACTTGCCTACTGCCGAGTTACGCACGGCATTCGTCTCAGCGGGGGCGGCCCAGTGCTCCACCACGACGATAGGGCGCAAGAAGCACTCGATGCTACCCACACAGACGGCGAGTCAAGAGAAGCAGCAAGGACGCTATTACATCGTGTAGTGATCCAAGGCACACAGGGAAAGGCATACCACGGGGACGCATACCGCTGCAGATGCCCACATTGGCCCGCTGGACGTGCGCTATTGTGTCAGGGAAGGTTTATGGCGCGATAAGCCCAGGGATGGCGAGGCGTTCTTCAGGCTTCTTCAGGTAGACGATCACCTTCACGTTGAAGGCGTGGCCATAGGCGCAAGTGCAGATCGGCGTTCTCGAACCCGTCCAGTGGCAGAAAAGGCGGCATTTCGGCCCGCCTGAGCATTCCTAGAAAGGAATCCGATCATCATCGACGCAGTCGTCCCAGGCAGCAGACCGGTCGAGTGTCGGGCAGCTGATGTTCAGTGAAGGGCACCTCATGCATCATGGAATTGATCCGAAATTGTCAGACGCAATGATGGTGGAACGTTGGCGGCACTCGAACTGCCCGTGCACGGGTAGTAGCACCGTGAGTCCAGCTTTGTGTGTATTGCCCTCACGCTCGCTCACTGCTTGCACGACGGATTTGTGCAGTGCGTTGCAGCGATGGCTGGTCACGCGGGTGAGCGAGAGACACTGCTCGACGGACTGTCTGCTTTGCTCGAGGAAATATGTGCAGGGTATCTTGAGTGGCCGTAGACGGAGTACGCCGGTCAAAATCTTATCCAGGGGTCCAGTTGGCGATCCGAACGCAGGGTGGTGCCTTGCGGTGGATAGATCCATGCCACGGAGATGTCGTTGCCTCAATAACGACCAGACCGAGTCGGTCATTGAGCTTTTATCGGACCGCAAAGCTGTAGAAGAATGTCGGTTCAAGCGAAAGTCGATTACAGCAAAACCTACCTTCTCACGTCTCTAATCATTGAAACCCTCTCCGTTCCTCCGGCGGAAGAAGATGTACACCAATGCCGAAGGACAGTAGAGCCAGTTACGCCACACCGACTGAGGTTGGATTACCGCTGACGTTCTGCTGAATCGGAGATTGGTTAGAAACTCAGTTCCAAGGCAACGACATCCATACCGTACTCCTCTTGTCTAGTACAAGAAGCTCGACACGACACGAGCCAACCTACGGTCCGCCATGTTTCTGGTGACATATACCAGTGCAGTCTGAGATCAAGACTACACAGCACGCACGGCGTCCGTCTCGGTATGAGCGGCTCGTTGCCCCTACGTCACGATAGAGCGAAGGAAGCACTCGATGCTACTCGGCACATACACAGAGAAGGGTCAAGGAAGGGACCGACGATGCCCGCACCGTTGCGCTCAGGGTGTACTGTGCGTTGATTGAAGGCATGCACGCCAGGTAAAGGGGCATGTCCGTGGAGGCGGCAGTTAGGTCGCATGATGCTCGCGGCCGTTGCAGGGATGTCATGCATGTGCGTCGAGCATCCATTCAGCACCAGGAACCAATGCATGCGCTACGCAGATAACGTTCACGATCATCCAGCATGGCCATGAAACGAGAGAGGAAGACTCAGGTTATGGAACGAAAGAATGCGTTCGGCGTCACCATGGTGCGTCTGCGGGAGCTTCTCGCCACGAGCCAACGCCCCTCGAGCCGTACACCAGCAAGAGACAAAGCCAGCGAGTTATGTAGCGCCGTGATGAAAGGTGTGTAGTGCGCGGATACGGAGCGGGAGACGAATCGCCGCGTATGAGAAACGTTGTCGTGTAGACGGCAAGTCGTTATCCAGATATTCGTGGAGGACGTGGCCGCCACGCCAGTGATTCCCGGCCCATCTCGTGTCAGAACACGTCGCACGTCGCCGAGCCCGATCTGTCGCATGCAGGGACCCAGGCGGAACCGTCGCCCTAGAGCAGCGGGTCGTCCATGATGAGCGTCGGGAAACTGCTGTGAAGGGCACCGTCTCACATCGAGTCCATGTGAGGTGGATCCTGGTCGCCGCGATACAGCCAAGCAGCGTGACGTTGGCGGTCGACTTCCGCGATTGCTTCGCATGATGCAGCTTGCAGATATGATTGGGGCGAGTGCGCGAGAGGTGGCACCCAAGGGCCTGCCATCTATTTCGTTCCAAAGAATGCGCGGTCTCTTCTAGGCAGCCGCAGATGATCCTTGCCGCGAATGGCTTCAGCCTGGTATCCGCTGGCGAATCGGTCCAAAGTCCGTCGACGCGAGAGCAGTGTCAAGTATCGCATTGAGTGCAGAAGTTTGACCGGTGGATGGGGGCAGCGTGGCGGTAAGCATAGGTTCGATGTCCTCGGCTTTCGGAGTCGCCCGGAGTCCCCAATAAGAGGGCCTATTCGATTTGTGTATGGTACAGCACACTTGGACCATCGCTTGTTGTGTCGTATGAATAGCTATGAGAGAAAGTCGGTCGAGGATGTGAGACGATGTGCGCGTAAAACATACCATTTCACGCCTCCCGACTCCACGAACAGCTTCCTCGTCCCTGCTAGCGACATACAGCGTGCACCTCTCGGTAACAGGGCGAATGATGTAACAGTGACCGTCGTTCTGCTGAATCAGACGTCTATGAAGGAGTTCAGTCCGACGTCAGGGACAGCAGATCTTCCGAATACCTTTGAAGTGGCCTGGTTGACATTCAGACCGTGCCCCGCGATACTAACTGCTTCTGGTGCTACGCAACAAGTTAGTGTCAAACCACAGAGGCACAGGATATCCTTACCCGAGGCTGTATCCCGCCCAGTCTCTAGTCAACAATCGCTCGTCCGCTCTACCGTACTCAGACTCCGGGTGGTAGCATTGCGCTACTGCAACGTGGATACGCGTTCGATGATGCAACCAGAACAGATGACGGAAGACGGTTGTTCAGAATGCAGAAGATATACGGCGTTCAGCTGGCGAGGAGAGCGCGATCAAATTGTGAAGCAGTTGGTCTCGACGTGAATAACTTTGACAACTGAACAAGGGAGAGCGGTCCCCAATATGGGTAGGTAGCGATCAGTGTAGCGTGCGACTACTCGCTCAAGAGGGAGAGGAGCAAGAGTCCGTTGCAGGAGGTCGGGTCTTCGACGAGAGGGCCGCTTCTGGCGCTATTACCTTTAGCGCCGTCGCACGGCGGATCGCGTTGTGCGAAGCGCTCACATCATGTCCTCCCGCCGCCGCGCCGCTGCGATCAAGCTGTGGTCCTTGGTAAGTTCTGGCAGGACTATCCGACGAGATCTTGGATGTATGTTGCGGCAATTGGGGCTTCCAGGAGTACGCTTAGTCGAAGAAAGTCTGACTTTGAGAGGTGTTGAACCGTACTGACAAACTCTAACCAAATGCTCTGCTCCCAGTGGGCCTCCGCGCGCCTCTCGATCAATAAGCATTAATATTCTCGCTCTTGCCTTCTGCGACTGCCGCACAACCGCAGCTATGATGACAACCTGCGCCAGAGCCCATTCTCGTTCATTGCAGTGAGTCTGATAACGCCGCATTACCGCTCAAACCCACAGAAGTTGAAGCCTGAGTCACTAAACAGGGAGTATCAGTGGCGTTCGATCCCGGTTAGTAAGTTCATTGAACTTATGCTAGTATCACTGAATTATGGCCTGTTCAGCGCCGCGATACAAGATGAGATTGACCGGATGAGAGCCTTCTTACCGCGCGAAGTTGGTTATGTTTGCCTGCGCATCACTTGCAGTGGTCAAAGCTACCGACGTATTGATGCTGGGTCAGACGCAAGAAGTCGTTGCAACAGGAAATCTTGGGTGCAAGACTACACATACAAATTATAACTGTAGCTGCTACATATCACCGATGCGTAGATCATGCAGCTCCATGACAGCGGAAAGTACGGTTGGTATTTCAGGAAAGCGGGGCTTGAACGAACATTCGAAAGGTGCAGGTCGCCTAAGGAAACATGTTCACGTTGAGTATTGAGTCTCGTATGGTCACCCGTACGCTGCGCACTTACATAACGATGCCACTGTTGACAAAATCCGTCGCGGAAGAAATTCGACCACCCATACTTTGCAAGTCGAAGGCCCAGAGTATCGATGCGATATTGATCAACAGAGCATCGTTTGCGACGTGTCTGCCAACGCGTAGCCTAGATGTACCGCAGTCAATGAGAAGTCATACTCGGTCAATCCTGAGCACGTCACCTGCTTCCAAAGCCATAGCTCGAATGACCCTCTTCCTTAGTGTTTGCGGGTGCCTTGGCCATGCGGCCGCCACTAGTAGGTCACATGTCGTTTCGACCGTCGTATTGTGAGGTGTCGATCCATGGGAATCCCTATGCAAACCGTGCACAGGAGATACTACAAAGTCAGTGAGAGCGGTGATAGAGGTGATCTGAATGTGCGCCGGAGAGACTGACCTAGTGTTTTGGCAATCAACCACACATGGCAGCTGCACCGTACCACCATCGTTCCATCCCGGAGACAGGCCGACGCAAGGCCGACGTCAGTGTCAGGCTCCAAGCTGATCGCGGATTCGCTGGCAGGTCAATTTCAACGTGCCCTCATGACCTTGCTGCGGCATTCGTTCCAAGTTCATTCTCCCGTAGGCAGACCACAAATACGACCTCCGAGTTGGCGGGACTCGGAGAGAGGACGGTCGTATCAGGGATGTTCTACTGTCCAGTGATTGGTTCGAGGCCTCAAGCTTTCAAGCTCAAGCTTGCACGTTTTCACTGCGGCCCAAGGAGCGAGGGGACAACCGCGATTCCAGCCAAAAACGCTCGATCGGTGAAGACGATCTATCCGGCCGAGGTGCCGGCATGCCGCGCCACAGAAGCCACCGGGGATCCCTCGGACCCGCCGTTTCTGGTGTCAGTCCGCTGAACGTCTCCCTGACTTGATCAGGCGTACTGTCACTGCGATGTCATTGATGCAACTGCATGCACCTCAAGTTCGCTATAATCGACTAGTGTGGGTCGGTGTTTCGCCTGCATTCTCAATCATCGGCTTGTACAGCCTTCACGTCCCTCTTGACATGGCACTGTGACAGTTACAGTGCCGCCAAACATTTTGTAAGTGAGATTCCGAGTCGTACAGTCCAATTTGACTGATGCAGACGAACAGCCTCTGGGGCCACTGGTATACCTCGCCATGATAGCGGGGAGGACATCCGTCATGGTTGTAATCAGGACTGGAGTCGATGCGAAGACTAACACTAGTTGAGTGAACTCATTCTATTAGGGACGTTCAGAGTTCGCTGTCCGGGCAGCTATCCCGCCAGCTATCCCGTCCAGATTTCCGAGGCTCGACGCCGGCAAACGCCGACAGCGAGCCCAGCTGTGATCGCGCTCGGGACAGCAGAGGGCTCGATATCGGCGCGGGCGCTCGGCAACCCGTCGGAACCTAAAAACAAGTGGCTCACCGAGGAAGCCCTAACCCTACCTTACTAGAACGCCTGGTCGGAGATCCAGGTGAGGCGATCTCGGCGAGCGGTGGCCCACATAATAAGCCAATTGAGCGAACAAACCTGTTTCTTGTAGATATGTTTGTGATGGTCGAATAAGCTATGGGACATTGTGTGCGAGTCAAATCGTATTCTTTGTTCGGGGAGTGAACGCGGGCGGCTAAGCGATGTACCACGCATGTTACGAATACCAAATACGGAATTACTGATCACATAACGTCACAGGTGAGTGACCATGCTTTATTCTGCGCACTTGGTATCGATATGTGCTGAGTCAACAGCCGCTATATAGAATATGAGCTATGGTAGTCTCTGTAATAAAAACGGAGTAGTACTCAGCTAGCGGGGCGACTGTCACACTGGTTACGTTAGCCACACACTCACCGAATTTAGTAGTTGTCACACGGTGATTTACTGGTTGACGAAGACAGTCTACAGATAGCTTATATGAGCCGAATGTCCGAAATCTTATGGTTAAGTAGGATGGTGCCCTTTCGAGCAAGTGTCTACCAGCAAATTTCAGGACAGCTATATTCTTGCATGGCTTGTTAAATTTCTAGTAAGGTATGTAGAGCCCGAGTTACAAGGGTTAGGGCTTCCTCGGTGAGCCACTTGTTTTCAGATTCCGACGGGTTGCCGAGCGCGCGTGCCGACAGTGAGCCCTCTGCTGTCGCGAGCGCGATCACAGCTGGGCTCGCTGTCGGCGTTTGCCGGCGTCGAGCCTCGGAAATCTGGACGGGATAGCTGGCGGGATAGCTGCCCGGACAGCGAACTCTGAACGTCCCTATTGTGACTCTGTCCATGATGCCGTTCTCTCGCGGCACATTTTTGCGTAAGGACCGGTATAGCTCGAAATTATTGATGGTACAGGGTTGTGGCATATCGAGCATCAATTTGTCTCCTCTGTCGCTGTCGTGTTCATCCCTGTGCCTTGCTACCTATTGGACCCGTCTGAGTGACCGCGTCGCCGTGTTTACGATGAACATCTGGCAGGCTGTGATCTGGGGACTTAAGAGAGGCGCAGCGATGGGCGACCGGCGCCACTATAGGTAGTCTACGTAAGTATATGAGGCCCAGCACAAGGTGCGTCAATCATCTACTTTATCCACGAGATTTGAGCCTCTATGTTGTGTCGCTTGCTCGTTGGCGTGACTCTCTATGGTTTCTTAGGCGCACGTTCAGCGCCGACATCCGCTCCTATCGTAACTCTTTCGTACGGTCAATTCCAAGGCGTCGTCAATGGGACCGCGACATCGTTCTTAGGCATTCCGTATGCACAACCTCCGTAAGTGGCACATAGCTTTTTTCTATCGTTGAGAAGTGATCTCATTGTTGATCGTATCCCTTCATCTAGTTTGGGCCCTCTGCGCTTCGCTCCACCACATACACCTCAATCAGTCGCCGGAGTTCAGCAAGCAACAAGCTATGGAGCTGCTTGCCCTCAGCAAGCATCACATGTGGCGAACGTACTGCCGTTTCCCATCAATGAACGAGCTCCGTCGAATGTGTCGGAAGACTGTAAGGGCTATTATATCTCAAGTCTGCCCCGACACACAACAGTTGATTTGATAGGTCTTTTTGTGAACGTCGTCAAGCCAACCTCTATCTCGACTGATGAGAAACTACCAGTCATCTTCGTGAGCACACTCTAATCTCGCCACCCGTATTACCATTTATAGCGTTGTTCGTCAGTGGATCTACGGAGGTACGTGGGATTGACGATCAAAGTATCTGCAAAGAGACCTCATCAGCGTCCAGGCGGCTTCGAAACTGGGGACACTTCCCTGTCTGATGGTACCCCGCTCGTGGAGCGTTCCCTTGTCCTCAACGAACCAGTCATCTTCGTTTCGGCGAATTATCGAATGAATGGTATAATTCTATGCACCCTAGATGATATTGCGACCGGCCTGACGATTGTGTATACAGCATTTGGATTCTTAGCAAGTGAAGAGGTGAAATCTGCTCGCTCAACAAACATCGGTTTGAGAGATCGTACGCCAATGCTGCTGACTATCTGACTAATACAAAACTAATGTTGGTCATTTAGAGCGGTTTGCGATCGAATGGGTCAATCAGCACATTGCCGAGTTCGGAGGCGACCCAACTAAAGTCATAATGTGAGCTTATTCCTGATTATCGCTCATTTGAGGTCACCGTGACGACGAACTTCAAACAAGCTGGGGTGAGAGTGCGGGAGCTCTGTCTGTCGGCCTACATCTCGTCATGTTTAACGGGAACACGGATGGGTTATTCCGCGGTGCATTCATGGTACGTACTATGGGTTACTCCCGACGACCTCATGTACGACAATCCATTCTAGGAATCAGGTTCGCCTTACGCCCTCCGCGACGTCTCAGCTGGTCAGCAGTATTATGACCAGCTTGTTGAGTATACCGGGTGTTCAGGAGAGTCGGACACGCTCGATTGCTTGCGTTACGTGTCATTTGACTCTCTGATGGACGCTATCAAAATGACTCCTAACATATACAACTACACGAGTCTCAACCTGGCCTGGCAACCAAGGCTCGACGACGACATCTTTGTGCGCAATCCGGAACACTCCATCGAAATGGGACTGTGGGCTCAGGTATGCGATTCGATCGTATATGATTTTTGTTGAGGGCTGACTGTGTTGTAGGTACCGACTGTATCAGGAGACTGCGATGATGAAGGGACGGTCTTCTCGCTGGGGAGCACCAATATCACGTATGTCGAGCAACTGCTTCAAGAGATCAATGATAGCATGCTCAATCACCTCTAGAACTGACAGCGAGTTTGTTGAATACGTGCAACGCAAGTAGGTGCCCATGATTTCGTCTCATAATGTGAGGCTCAAGAGAAGTTAGTTATATCCCAGTTGCTTCTGCGTCGCAGATCGCGGCGGTTGCTGAAGCCTACCCTGCCGATCCTGCTCAGGTATGAGGGTCCTTGCTAAGCGTACTTCTTCAAATCAAACTGAGTGGACTAGGGCTCGCCATTTGGGACAGGAGATGCGAATAACTTGACGTACGTTTGGTGTCCCGCTATTCTAGCTCAAGGTCTAACGTGTCGAGACCTCTCATTAGGTCTCAGTACAAGCGTCTTGCGGCGTTCCAAGGTGATTGGGAATTTCAGGCGCCTCGCCGCCTGTTTCAGCGAACCGTATCGTCTCAACATGACACCTGGGGCTTCCGTGAGTCTACATCATGTGGTGTCGAATCTTTCCTGATGATCCCTCGTTCAGTGTATAAGCGAGACAAATCGACGCCGTACCTTGGATCATATCATTCCACTGATCTCGTCGAGTTCTTCGATGTTAGTGACTACATTGGAGCCGATGCGCTGAGTAAGTTTCTATCTTCGTAATCACTTATTCTCGTCAACTGATTTTATTCAGTCAACTTCGCCTATTATCTGAACCCCAATGCTCCGACAAATCTCCCGGCCAATGTGAGCTACCTGTCCGGCATACAGTGGCCCAAATGGGAAGCTGGCTCGCCACAGTTATTGACTTTCATAGAGCCTGCGCCTTCTCTTTCCCTTACAGAGGACACATATCGTGCTACTGGGATGTCACTCATATCAGAACTTTCTCTTAAGTTTCCCTAATATCGGTTAAAGCGTAGACTACAGCGAACTTGAACGCAGCACACAACGTACACTTCTGTCCAATTGTAATGTACTAACCAGCATATCATGGTGCATTATGATGTGGTCGAATTTGGACAGTTGTTGAATGCTAAACTGAATTCTGAATGGACTGAAAGACGTGAGGTGCTGAGAAACACAGGTACAACTGACTTAGCAGACAGCACTGGACGAGCACCTCTCGCGCGTTCGTGCACCCGACCATCTTCAAAAGCGCCTCATGTGGCCTGATCGCAGACGCCGTTCAGGCCGGTACGCACAACAACGAGCTTACGGCACCACACGAATGTCATCGGCTGCTCGAGCGCTGCCAACGTATCACTACTTGGTTGCAGCGCCATCGCATCAAGCAGCTTCGGGGTCGGCGTCACGATGATCGACACAAGGGATTCCCTCGACTGCGCACCGGCTGCACTCATGGTCGCTCATACGAAGAACACCCCGCCGTTCTTGCGACTGGGCCGATTACATGCCGCTTTGCACCATACGCATATGCAAGCTCGGCGCTCCTACTCTTGCACCGTCTGGTTTCGCCTTTTGCTGGCCTAGGCCTAAAGGTTCTTTGACTCTAGCTTCAAGGAGCTCGTCAGGCCTGTGAACGACGCGACAGACAGCTCCTCGGGCTGGAGACAAGTCACGATGATACTGTAAGGATGTCGAGGGTTAGGGTTCCCAAGGCAGATAGCTCGGACTTCGTAGCTTACATAAGACTAGTCGTTTTTCTTGTACCGTCACTACGCTGCGTCGTTTACCGCTATGGAACGGGATCTAACGCACTTGTGACGACCGACGACTCACCACCACCTCCAGCAACCTTACAGATACCGACCACTTTCATTATCGACTCAGACTCCGGTTTCACCCGCCAGCCTGAGTCCTCCCCTCTCGTTCCGCGGCCGTACTGGTGTCAATTATCCTCCCATCGGTGGCACATGGCCGGATTGTGCTTGCTCAAGTGATCCGGCGCTGCAGCTCTGTTATAATTTACAGAGATGCTGTGGGCCTGCCTGCCGCGGACGGTCAGTGGCAACTGCCTGTACTGTAGAGGACTGGGGTTCAATGGTATATCATCAAGGCATCAACGTGTGATGAGACATGGAGTCGAGGTAAGACGTATACCATGCGTCTTCAAATGCAGGAGGCGGATCAAACCTTGTAACCTCCGATGTTGAGGCACCCGAAAACATATATAAGTTTGAGCTCTGACCGTACGAATCGCCTCCAGAACGGAATAAGCTTGAACGAAGCGACTCGGAACGAGCATAATCTACTCCAGACCAAGCCCCTTTGACTCGGCCGAGCTGCCACCAGCGTCACTTGCTCCTATCATGAGGATGCTCTTGTTGACCAACGTCGTAAATGACGTCTCGTTCCCCGTTCTCGTCCACACAAGCTTGCGTGGCAGACTACCGCTTCCGCGTTCACCGACTATCCTCATGCATCGTGCAAGGCGCGGTAGCTAAAATAATGCCCATCACGTATTGAGTATTTGGTACGGGGATATGCACGTTGTCCGCACCGGTATGTAAACCTGACTGTTCAGGCATGAACCCACTCTGTATAGAGCACTAATGGACCACGGTCGTGAAACCAATCCACAAGGCGAAGAACTCAAAGCATACCTCAGCACCACTTCCATTGGCCTCTTCACTTCACGATGCACTTGGCCAAACATACCGGGGCGGAGGACAACGAGATCGTCGTACCCTATTTGCGCCAGTTCAATCTCTGTTGCTGCTTTACTTCTGCATTCACATGTCGATGCTTCAACATGGGGAGTGACGTCGCAGAATGGACGGCGCACCTGAAGTAGAGCAGCAACGATGAAGGGGAGGCACACATTGCCTTGATACACGATCAGATTTATTGTCGAGAGCGGAATAGAAGGCGACGTACGGAGACATATATAAGTCGTTGTTGGTGAGAGACATCGTCCGACTTCGCAGCGCGCGCGGCACGAACTACATATCTGTCCGACTGTCAGCCAACGACAAAAGAGCTACGCGATTATGAGGCTTCGTCGAAGCATTAGACTCAACTCTCTGTCGACTCTTTCAAACTCTTCTGTGTTCTCTGCAAGTGTCACGCTCAATCCGAGACTTAATCGTGAAGTAAGCCCTCGTGCCGAGTCACAGTAGAGATTGGACACATACGTGATAAAGACTACGTCCCATCTTCCCTCGTTTAACCCCATCTCCTCAATATTATCGTAATCTATAACCTTTTGCTCCAGTTTATCCCTTCCAAGCCTGATCTTCTCAGCGTGAGTGACGCGTCGGCCATACTCGCCCACCCTGCCGAAGACAGGGGAAGCCAGAACCTCCTGTAGTAGGAGACTTCCTGCGGCACTCGTAGCGCCGAGAAGGAGAGCAGATAGGCCTACTAGCAGACCATATCAGCAGTAGCCCGTGAACGAAGCGAAGAGGTGATGTACTGACCAGCCATTGACTCTTGACTAATCTGAGGGGAATTGAGAAGTGGGCAGGAACGCTTGCGCAACCTTGCTCACAACGAAAGTGTCCGTTCTCGCTTTCACTGCACAAGATCGCTGCAACGGGCGGATCGGGTCGAGGGCCGTTACGATGGGTCGAGAGGTCGAGGGGTGAGGACAAAGCGAGCGAGCGGACAATGGCATCCCAAACAACGAAGGGCGGGATGCCCGAACGCTGGCGTTTGCAAGACGAGGGAAATACGAGGAGGGCGGGCGGGTCTAAGTTATATCGGGACGACTCGTTAAGCTAATGTGGCCTACAGCACCGCTACAGGCGCGCACAGTGGATGCGCGCCGGTGTTGGGAGGCGTCCGTTTCGGCATGAGCGGCTCGCTGCCCCTCCGTTACGATAGAGCGAGGGAAGCCCAAGATGCAGCTCGGCACATACACAGCAGAGGAGGGTCAAGGACGGGACCAACGCGCCGCCTGCACTCAGTATTTGCTGTGCTTCGATTGAAGGCATATAGGGTAATGAACAGTAGAGAAGGCGTGTCGCTGTAGGCCCCACGGTGGCCTGCTGAATGGTGCGCTGTTCCGCCAGTGACAAGGATGTGTCGATGGACGTGGCAGGTAGGTCGTACCACCGGATGTGCGTGAGGAACTCGTCGGGTGCGTTCAGGAGCCTGGGGAGGAGCAGTTGGGCCTGGCTTTCCTGAATGGCGTTTATCTCTGGGAGAATACGAGGCGAAATGAGCAACGAGATGATCTTCCTGCTGTCCTTCAGACGACTGCCGTACCGACACATTACTGTGAACTCTGCATAACCTATCCTACACGCAGCCGGTCAACATGAACAGGCTGAATAAAGAGCGAGAAAACAGAACGGGTAGCTCACATCTCCCCGGCGAGGACACTCCGCGGCCGGTCAGAGTATATAGCACTCCGTTTCTCGAGCAGGTCGAACACGGCCTTCCGCGAGTCCAAGATGACAATGGAACGGCCAAAGGCGGAGAAGTGCATGACGTCGCCTACGGCTGTGTGAGTATACGCATGCTGGGGTGGACATGTTCTACGCACCGTATGTCCTCGCCATTTCCACGAACGTGAGCCATGCTCGCTCGACTGGTATCTGGAGGGCGTTGCGAATATAGGCAGGCCAGTGGGCCCAGGCGAGAGGCGTCTGCGAGAGTGCCAACTGTTCCATAGTTTCAGGGAAAGGAGCGGGACGAGAATGAGTGCCAGGAGGACGAGGAAGGAGTGAAGTGTCCCATGCGCCATGTCTTCGCCCCGGTTAAGTTGCTTGCAGAGCAGGCGGAAGGTTGTCTTATAGTGGACAACATCAGACCGTAATGTGAACAGGTCGTTGGATTGAAGCCTCGCGCCATGGATGTCCACGGACTTGCCACGGACAGAGGAGGGCCGCTCAGGCTGGACAAGTTGCCTCAGACACGGCGTTGAAGTGGGGATCTTGTTTTAGATCCCATCAAAGAACCGCGCTCGGGTCAGATCTTGGTCAGATGCTTCCATTTCGAGGTCAGCCACTGACTGGCAACTGTGGTGGCCTCTCGCAAACCCTCTCCGCGACTCTCGACGCGCATACCACGCCCGTGTCGAGCTAATTCTTAGCCTACAACTTTTTTTTTTTTTTGAATCCCTTTATTGTCCGCGAGGGCCGAGCCCTATGTAGACAAAACTCTAACTCTAAAGATAAGTACGCGTGTGCTCTGTTAGGATCAGGCTGAGCATAAGCTCGTCGCCGAAGCGAGAGCGAGGGGTTGTACAGTAAGACAGGGAATAGGAGTAAGGTGTCCGAGTCGAGGTCGTTGGCAGTAGTGGTATGTACAGTAACTGACGTGCGAGTGTAGTGTATTCGTATTTGTCCTTGGTTCTATATACGGGGTTATGGACTCCCGCCCGGGAGACGACACGCGTTCGATAGGGCTGCCGGGCTGGACGAGCGGTCTGGCTCAGAGCGGGGTCTGGGTGAGGTGCGCAGGGCTGAGTATTGCAACCTGCCGCCCTCAGGTGCGGCCCTGGCATCGCAGCACCCTTCCCGGCTCCTACAGTGACCGCCGCAGTTTCCGTTCGCTTTCTCTCCGGCGCATCGGTAAAGTCGAATGTACAGTATGCTGGGGTCTGAATCTGTTAAGTAGTCTAGTAAGTATGTGCAGAATAGTAGATGGAGAGGAGGGTTGGTCAGTCGTCGGCGGCGAGGCCGAGGTCGCCGTAGTTGGCCGCGAAGCGGCCTGTTGCGTGGATGTATCGGAAGAGGAGTCGGATGGCTTTGGGGTGGGTGAGAAGTATCTGTATGGAGTTCGCGGCTGGTCCTAGGGTGAAAGCGAGTTGTGCGCGCTGTTCGTCGTACGATGGGCATTCCAGTATGTAGTGATGGACCGTTTCTCGTGCGAGATGGCATGTGGGGCATATAGGGGAGTCGGCCTTCGTGATCCTGTGGAGGTGGGCTTGCAGGGGGATGTGTTCGGTGCGCAGTTGGATGAGGAGGCTGGCATGTTTCCGTGGGAGAGAGTTCATCAGTTTAACATAGCGTTTAGAGGGAAGATTTGGGTCTATGCGATCCATCTTGGCGGAGCGCGGCGAGCACTTCCACTCGTCCCGCGCTGCGCTCGCGAACTGCTCGGCGAGCGTCTGTCTTACCTTCGAGAGTAGCCTACAACTAGGCCGTACACCACCATCGGCGCGCTATGTCCAAGGGCTCGGCTCACTACCAGTGTTTCGCGGAATGGAGGGCTGACGGTACATTCGCTTGTTCGGTATAGGCTCAACTACTGTAAGCAATCCTTGCTCGGCGTGCTGTTCGCCCATCCTCACGCATTGCGCACGCGTACTGTAATGCTCCACGGCATGCGTCATGCTTTTGTCGACACTCACGTATAATACGTCCCCAACCAGGCCGCCATAAACCTCTTCATATCCATCCGTCCGGTCACCCTGGCCGCTCGTCTTCAGAGAGATACAGGCCATTGCTACGCCGTGTGTGACACCTCCCCTTCAGATCACAGAGCCGACTGCGCTCATAAGGCCGCATATATGCAGGCCAGACCCACTTTTCAGCCGTGTCGCCGTCGAGTGCGCTCTTCGCTCCGTATCCTCCACAAATGCTCGATATCACACCCAACTATAGCCTGTTGAACGAGGAGGGCCATACGATGCTCTGCAATCCTCCCTGGTTCCGACACCGTCTCTGCACGAAGGATTGGGGATAGAACGTGTGCGGTCGCCAGTGTCCGCGATGATGAGTGAGTACTAGCTATAGAGTGAAGGCGAAGTGTCGCATGGGCGGTCGTCGCAAGTCCTATTCCTGCCCTTCGTCTATCGCGTGCGACGATGCTGTACTACCTCGTCCCGTACATACGATTCATGAGGCTGACGTATATGCAACAAATCTCGCACAGATTGCATCAGGTCATGCTGTGATGATACCCAATCTTTTCGTGCAGCGTGTTCCTGCTCCCCTTGTATGTGTGGCCCCCTGATCCTATGGTAACTCACACGTCGTACTTGCGCAGAATACAGGTCCGCCGAATATTAGCACAACGCGTATCAAACGAGGGTCCAAACATCGCGGAATGAAGGTCTTCTCAGGCTCATTCTGGTTTCGTCCCAACCACCTCCGAGTCTACTCATGCGGTCGCTTTGCTCCGCCACCTCACTTCATTTGACAACGCTCGAGCGACGTAGTTCGCCACGCGTGACAGCGCTCACTGTGTGCACTTAGTACTGTGAGGCATCCTTTTCCTGTTCTGCCCGAAGAAATGCTGATATTTTTGCAGTGTTGAGTGAGTTCGGTACATCGTGATCGTGATACTGTGCTCGTCGAGATGCCATATACAAGGTTCGAAACGTGCAACACTGGTGTGGACGGCATCTGCCAGCGCTGATGCCATTCGGTCACAGATGTTCTCTCCTGATAGAACCCGACAACTCAGTCTCAGAGTCAGGCTTCGTATTCGCACGGAATGATAGCAAGAATTTGGCAGGTGTTGCCACATAAAAGGTACCGCCGAAGCGTTGACGTCGCCATTTCTGCGCATCGCCCAAGCCACCCGCTGAAGATCTGAGAGCTCGAGAAGCTATCCAATCGCTGCCCACTCCGAATAGGCCAGAGCGTAGGTTCGAAGGGGATCTTGCGTGCGGCGCTGTGCTATCCCTTGCCTCGTATTGTGGTCTCCACGCTATTCCGCCCTGCAGAAATGTTCAAAATACTGGCAGCGGGAGTTGCTTGCGCCCTCGGCGTCGTTGCCTATCACGTCTACCAGAGCGGCGTTCTTGTAGCTATCCTCATCTGCCTTGTCGCGTATCTCGCAGCCCAGGCCGTCCCTGCTCTACGCACCAAGAGGCCATACCCTCCCGGTCCGCCCGGATGGCCTATCATACGCAATCTGCTCCAGATTCCCCAGGACAACCCATGGCTCGTTTACTCTGCTTGGGCAGACACCTACGGTATGTGCATCCTCACGCTGCTACCCTCGATCATCGAGTCATGCTCATTTGGTTCGTCGACGGTCCGCGACGTTCAAAGGCGATGTCGTCCATCTTGAAGCCCTCAGCGACCACCTCGTAATCCTCAACACCGCTCAGGCGGCCAAGGACCTCCTCGATGGCCGGTCCACCATATACTCTGATCGCCCAGAGTCAGTACGTGATCTCTGTTGCATCTTGCACTCTCCAGAAACTAACGGACGCGTAGGTCATGGCAGAGCTGTGAGCTAGATCCCATGCTTAGTGTGCCCCGTTTGCCGCGTCGCTGACTCGCCCGCCATGTGCCACGCGCAGCTCAGGATTCGGCGTTGAAATGCCCATGCTGTCTTACAACGACAAGTGGCGAAGGCAGCGCAAGATCGTCGCCCAGTCATTCAATTCGGGCTTGGTTCCGCGCTACTACCCGATCCAGGAGCATGAGGCGCGCCGCCTCGCGCAGGGCATTCTCCGGCACCCCGAGACGCTTGTCAACCAGACAAAGACGTGAGTGTACGACATTGCGAGTACGTAGCGTGTACTGACAGCGACGATAGACGGATCGCGGCGATCATCATGCGCGTGACGTACGGCTACACTGTCAAGGGTGAGGACGACCCGATGATCACCGTCCCGTTCGCCGCCATGGTCAATTTCGGCGCCGCGACGGAGCCGGGCGCGTGGATCGTGGACTTTATTCCGCAGAGTGAGTGCTCGGGCGAGTTGGCGAGTGGGGATACGCGTCTGACGCGCAGGTATGCGCAGTACAGTATCTGCCGCGCTGGATGCCTGGGGCGTCGTTCTTGCGCACCGCGGAGCGCTTCAAGGAACTCGAGCACAAGGCCTCGTGGAGCCCGTACCTGTATTGCAAGCAGAGACTCGTGCGCATCTGCGTCCCGTATCTCGCTCGGTACTGACGAGAGAGCCTATCTGCAGCAAGAAGGATTTGCGGACACGTGTCTGGTTGCGTCCACGCTGGATGAGTTCGAAGGCAAGATGAACAATGAAGATGAGGCCGCCCTCGTCTGGGCCGCATCCTCCGGGCTCGGCGGCGGGCTGGACACGGTGCGTAGCGCTGCAGCCGCGTCCCGCTGCGCGGAAACTGAAGCGCCGCCTGCCTCAGAACATGTCCACCACATTTACGTTCCTGCTCGCCATGGTGCGGCACCCGGACGTCCAGGCGAAAGCTCAGGCTGAGATCGACCAGGTGGTGGGCAGTGAGCGACTGCCGTCGATCACGGACAGGCCGTCGCTGCCGTATGTGAGGAGCGTGATAACGGAAGTATTCCGCTGGTACCCGCCTACCCCGCTAGGTGCGTGCATCTCGTGTCCCAGGTCGACGTCGCTGACGGACCGTCTTAAGGCCTGCCTCACGCGCTGCGACAAGACGACGTGTACAAGGACTGTCTGTTGCCCAAGTCGTCGATCATCATCCCGAATGTTTGGTCAGTGCAGCGTGTCCCTGCATGGGTCGCCGCTCGGGTAGCAATGCTAACGTGGTGCTCAGGCGCATGCTCCGTGACCCCAAGGTGTACCCGGAGCCTGGCATGTTCAAGCCGGAGCGGTTTGGCAATGACGATGGCGAGATGCGGAAGGTGATCGATCTCGTCTTCGGGTTTGGTCGGCGTGCATGCCCTGGGTCGCAGTTCGCGGAGGGCTCCATCTTCGCGATCGTGGCGACCATTCTCGCGACAAGCAATGTTGTGCCGAAGATGGACGAACGAGGAAAGCCGATCATTCCTGAGATGGAGTACACGAACGGCATAATAGTGTAAGTGACCAATACACTCACATTCTGGTAATTGACGTGACCGGCCGGCAGTTTCCCGAAGCACATTGTGTGCGACATCAAGCCGAGATCGATGCGCGCGCAGGAGCTGCTTGAGGAGTGCATCTCTCGTAGCGAATGAGCGCAGGCAAACGACGCCAACGTAGATGCCACGCAGCCTCTGCGTCCTGACATGTACTCCGGTGCTCCTCGGTATCACCCTGACCAGCTTCGTGTATTGCCAGTTCTTGCCATTGTCACTGTCGCGGGTGCTCAATTAACATTGCCTTCACTGATTGTCAACATTCTGGGAGATCGACATTCAATTGCCGTATGCACCGGCCCAGGACGCGGTATGTTCACAGATTTTATTTGGCAGCATGTCCCTTCTTTTCCAGGATACCTGGTACTAATGTTCGTCTTTTAACTGGAGCAGTGAGGCACAGAATCGACATTATCATTGGCCCGTCAAGCGGTAACAGTTCTTGCTATGTTCGGTGTTACTTCCACCATGGCTGTCATCGTGTTCTCGGTTCTCTACGGGTTCTTCTCAGGCGCTAGTACGTCCCCGAGTTTTCTCCTTGCCTATTCTCCCGCTGAATTTCTCATTCGCACTCGCAGCAATCTCGTTGATGCCTGCGTCGGCGGTGACGCTCTCAAAGGCTGTGCATGAAATCGTATTTGACTTCTTTCACCGTTCTCTAGCTCTTGTAATAAGGCTGATTCTGGGATAGGTCTCGTCTGGATCTCAAATACTTACTCGGCTCGTTCGCTACGCTCATAGACCCATCTCTGGCGCGCTTTTTGACGCGGTGACCGGTGGTACAAGCCACTTGTGTTCAGTTCGGTGAGCACATGTCGATTCAATCAAGTCTCGAGGTTGGCTTTATGCGCTGTATACGTGCTGACTGCGGTTCTATAGGTCATCTGATGATCTTCGCTGGAGCATCGTGCATTGTCATAGCGCGAAGGTGGTCGGCATGAAAGGGACGTGAAGAATGTAGCTGGACAACATATTTCGTATCCTTTGGCGCTGCTGGCATTGAGTTGTCATGTAAACCAACTGTACACCCGTGCTTGGTCCTAGGTGAATGTTTGCCAACATCTTGTAGTGCTGTAGCTCCGCTGGACTCCAACGTTTTACGTGTGTTTGCAAGGCGCAGGGCCCGACGATATGGATATAGCTGTAAGGTGAATCTTACATTGTTTGCACGTGAAAGCTGCCACAGTACTTACTTATTGCTCATGAGTCTCATGCATCCAAGTTCAGCAGTCGCACGCCACACTGACCCGTTATGGAAGTGTTCTCCCGCCGGCGCTCCCGGCGTCCTAACTTCGAACCCCTCGGAACGACTTGCTCTACAATCGACTGCCATATGCACTGTGTGCCGAGGCTTGTCGTCGCTCTCTGAATTTTGGTCCGCCGTGGCCGATTTTCATCTTTTCGGACTTGAGTTCTTCGAACGTCGTGGCACAGCCAGGTGGAACCCAAGGGTGAGCGAATGAATACAGAGCTGAGCAATGGTATGCCGTTTCCATGTACACTGTCATAGTTATGATCCCAGCATAGCTATAGACTGCAGAAACACGGCGGCCCGTACTTCGCGCCTCCGAGTAGTCGTCCCGAAGCTTCAATGTTTCCATGCAGTGCACGACTACAAGCATGCGAGAAATGAGGTGTGGTTCATATTTTTACGCCCGAGTTCGATCTGACCATGAGCGTCGTAGATGTTTACTGCGACAGAACACACGACAGTCCCGTTCTCCGTGCAATGGGGAAATCTTGCACGGCGACCTTTGTAGTAGGTGAGATGCTTTGCACACGCTATCCAACAGCGCGCACTGGCAAGTACCTCGATCTGCTTCGCATATGAACATTGCGGAGTACCACGCGTGTCATTGTAGTGGCGTCATGCAGTTTCACGGAATGGGATAGTGCAGATGGGTCTTACGTGCAGTTTGGCACAACCGTGATCGATGGGTTCGATAACGTTGAAGCTGTGTGCTCGCTGAACTTACCATGACTGACAGGCTACTTCTGCTCCCTGAGCTTCTCACACCTGGACTGTTCGCCGGTGTACGGAGCGCTTTAAGTTCTGACCTGGACCACCAACCCCGCATGATTACTGCCGCGTCTTCGGAACCGAACCGTACTTGCTGGATTTGAACCTTGAAGTGAATTGGTGAGTTGCCGAAACCCTCCACTCAGCGCTTAGTGATTTAGCCGTAGGCTGATATTGTCATAGCTCGTCAGATCGCACAGCAGTACGCAGGCAGGGCATTCATAACCATGGCGGTGAGCACAGGTAAGTACTTGCGTGCCCAATCTATCATCTACGTTTGTACTGACGGTCCGCTTAACATAGCGTCGATGCCGAGTTGCATCGTCACGTCCTTAGCGCCAAACGCAGATTCATAGTCAGTAAAGTGGTTGATGTTTTTCTGTCTGTCTTTGATTGTTCTGTCGTAGAGGCATGATTCGCGATACCCTCCATCTCTGTTTGGCCCTACACGTGGTACGTCAGTGGTCCGTAAGTGCACCAGATCCACAGCGCATCGTGAGCTCTTGCTGTCCTTTTAACCAGGAGACAGTATTGTTTTTTCATCAAGATGCATCTGTACGACTTCGACCCTTGACATCCAGCCTTCCACTGGCGTCCATCTTCTTGCGCGTGCCGCCAGTCGGTGTCAGGAATCATCAATCAGAAGCTATGTAATCTCCTCGTATGTCATTTCCACTTATCGTTACACCATATCTTCCCTCGCAGCTGTAGTATACATAGCATCCTTGATTGTTGATGTGCTTAACCCATCCCGTCCAGCCCAAGCGCTCAAACCTAGTCTCGTATCGCCATTTGTGCAACGGAAGATCCATTCAGCTGACACCACTGTTGACGTGTTTATGATCTGTTTCCGACTCATGTGTGAGATAGCATACGGTGCGACCGGCGGGTTCATAGCCACCATCTGCACTATGGAAAGGGTGCAGTTGCGATAGCATGCAGGGCGCGCACACATAAACTGTGCGTCGAGAGAAGTACACTCCCGCGCTTTGCAGGAACCTCGGCAAGTCATTGATTGTGTCGTACCCCTCAGCTGTCCTCAGGTATGGCTAGCATTGAGTTCGGTGTCGACGAAGCGTACCTCATTGCTGCCTGGTTTGAATCATTTTGGTGGGGTATGTCTGTGGTCTCCTTCGGCTGCATAGCTCGCTCACCCAAAGATAGGTTTATACACTCTCCTGTTCAGCATCACAACATACGCTATTCTTCGGCATTCTGGTGTCAAGCACGCGTTCAATGTATTCACGGCGGCAGTACTACTACTGTGAGTTCTACCCACACCTCAGCGAATATCAAGGTCGCATTGCTCAGACTTTGTTAGCTATATGATTGCGACTGCTCATATGGCTATTGTGCTACGGAACCTTATCAACGCTTTCATAGTCTATCGCGACACAATTGGCCCAGATGCATATTATGAGAACGTGGGCAGCGGGCTGTATGTCTCTGCGCAGTTCCTGTACATATCCGGTGTATGTGTCCTAGTAGAATCACACGAAACGAACTGACATTTCTGTAGAAACTTGTTTCTGATTCTGTGGTTATCTGGCGTCTATGGATCGTCTGGGGACAACAGTACTGGGCTGTTGCATTGCCCATCTGCTTGTGGATTGGGACTGCGAGTAAGCCTCTGAGTCGGTTATATGCGTTCGAGTCCGTGCTGATCCATGCTATTGCGCAGTCTCGTCACTTGGCGCGGGCTCACATCTAGCTCTACCCCACCCCGAGGCACAGTCGGCGATTCGATGGGGATACGGCATGTATGTCACATCCCTCGTAATGAACATCTATGCAACCGCCCTGATTGCAGGGCGAATATGGTTCGTCGTAATCATTTCAACACCTGAGTGGAACTCACAGTAGCGTCTAGGTATATGAACTATCAGCATCGCATGGCGATAGCCAAGGACCATCCATATTCACGCCTCATTCTGCTCATCATCGAGTCGGGCAGCTTCCTTGCGATAGCGAAGATCATTGAAATCTCCTTATATTGCATTTCTCTCGACTCTGCGACTTCTCGTGACCAATCTTGTTGGATTTTGCTTGATGTGATGCCCCAATTAATGGTAGGCTTAAGCTGACATCGCCATTGCTCGTGCTCACATATTCTGACTTAGGGAATCATCCCGACGTTAATCATCCTAGCGGCCAAGATCGGTTTAACCCGGAACGATGACCACTACTCAACACAAACGAGACATACTTACAGCATAGCATTTGCACCTGGCGACCAGGTTCAGCTCCCGCGGACTGACCTCACATCGTCATCTCCATGCTTCGGAGAGGATCTAAGCGGACCTACGGTGAAAGCCCATTCCAGCATAGCGCTCTCTGCACCCCGACCTGCAGTTTGCAGAGACAATGTGTAGCGAAGCGAGTAGGCGTGTTCCAATCAGATAGTGCTTCATGCCAAGCTTCCACACGTTCCAGTCAGTACGAACTTCTGTCATGTTGTTTGCAGTAGTGCGATAGTCAAACGCGCTGCCTAGAGATATATCATTGGGAATTGCCATTTGCAAAATGAGGATTGTTGAAAATCAAGACGTCGACTGGTAGCGCAATCATTCCTGTTATCAGGATGATGCGAGGCAACGAGACCTCGTAGGGTCTATACCATACATCTCGTGGTTCAGAAGGTGCCTACTGTGACGTACTATAAGCATGCCGGTACTTGCCTCGTGTCCGACAGGGGGACTGACTGAATATATACCCATTCTCAGTCGCGGTCAACGACGGAATCAGCATACACACCCATACACACCTGGAGCAAGATCGCGGATCGAGATGATTCAAATGTCGTTTTGCCGTGGTCTTTGCCGCGCTCAGATATTTGACATACCTCGCGGTCTCATCGGTGATCCAGTGTTTTACTGGCATAAATGGAATCCCCTCCTCCTCCTCCTCCTCCTCAACGGAGAATTTCTGGACCCCGGGCTTTCAATATCTCAGTTGATTCGGCTCATCTTGCCCATCCATGTGATGTCGATAAGGCAGTGTAACTCACACGGCGTACAGCCTGTTGTGGGCGCATGAGTATCCTGATAGGATGGGCGGCCTTCTCCTGCAACGCTCTACTACTTCAAGGACCCCCTTTCGCACTGAGGCAGCATAAACTCTCTGGTATCTTTTCCCGGTCAGTACGATGCGTCTACTGTAGATCTTTTCAACATAGCTAATGGGTTGTTACCTGGTTCGAAGGTTGACTCCACAATGCCCACCATCACCTACTCGCGTGTCGACTCGCTCGAAATCCAGCTGGATTACGATTTACCCTCTCATGTCACCAGTGGCTCTTTGGGTGTGTTCATTTACCTTCACGGTGGAGGCATCATCACAGGTTCTCGCAAGGATGCGTTCTTCCCTGACTCTATGAAAGGTGAGAGCGCCCTCGCATCTGTGAATTGTGTCCGAACTCACTATATGTGGTTCAACCAGAATCAGTCTTGAGAAACGGTGCCATATTCATGGGTGCCGACTATCGTCTATTGTATCCCTCCACAGGCTTCGACGTCATCGACGACATGAAGGCCCTCTTCTCATTCCTATCAAACCCAAACTTCTCGGAAGACCATTTGCCGAGCGGGATATCGTTGGATGCATCTCGCATTGCCCTTGTAGGGGCTTCTGGAGGAGCATATCCTGCGATGGCCGCGGGCCTCTACGCTCAACCGAAGCCGAAGGCTCTTCTCTTGCTGTTTGGCATGGGCGGAGACATGCTGGGAGATAGCTGGGTTGCGCCCAAGAGCGGGTTCATGCCGTTCCCTGGATCCGAGAGCGTAACAGAAGCGTCTCTCAGCCACCTTCTGGAGCGTCCTCCACCCCCTATCTCAGACGCACCAGTGAAGATCCAGCCCGACCAGACCCTTCGCGACGACGAGGGTCGCATGGGCCTGTTCATGCACTGGTGGCGAACGGGCGAACTTCTGGACTATGTCGTGGGGAACCCGTCTCCGCCACTCTGCGCTCCTTGCCGCCCGCTCAACGCCTCGCCGCTGTACCTGCCCATTTGCGTCTGGCCATCCTACAAGCCCACCTGGACGACGAGTTCCCCCCGACATGCCTCGTGCACGGGGAGCAAGACGGTCTTGTGGATCCCGCTGAATCGAAGACGACGTATGGTCGTCTGAAGGAATTGGGTGTCAAGACGGAATTGGTGCTCGTTCCGGACGCTATCCATGCGCTCATGTCGCCCACCAATCCGGCGGCGCCAGCTGTGGCGGCCGAGGATGCATATGCGGAGGGTTTGAGCTTCGTGTTCACGGAGTTGTTGAGCGAGTAGTGGAGGGTCCGCAGGCAGAGCAATCCCGGTGCTCAAATCTAGTACATTGATTACTTTCGTATTCTCGTTATGCGTAGCGTAAAATGCCGGAAATGCTTGACGCTGCGACGACGCAGACTTGGACGAACTTACGAGGATGTGCGCCAAGGGCCACCGGGCACCAACCCCAACTGACTCCCTCCTCTTCCTTGACTCTTCTCTGATCAGTTATAGGCCAGAGGACGCATCTCTGATCAGGTTGCTCACCCCAGTGCTCGATGGGAATTCTATATTAGCTCGGCTGGCGCCATCATTGACCAGGATAGTGTTCATCGGGAACATCGCAACGTTGAATACAAGGAGCCACCCGTCGCGTTGTCTGTGTATGTAGACGCGGTCCAAGACGTTTGTGTCGATCCTACTAACTTCCTCCTTTCGTGAGCCCCCGGCATGTATGAGATGTGACAGCATTCATTAGCGTTATGAAGTCGTTGCAACGAGTTGCGATACGGGAGACGGAACAATTGAATATCTGTCATCTTCAGTATGACTGGAAGCCCACAACAGCCCGCATAACAAATGGACGCCCTTGCATATTGTACAATCGGCACGAGGCCCGCTGTCTGTCGACCCATGCGGCCGGGGCCATGCCTTACGCCAGTGCTTCGAGATAGACCTGAACGGCCTTCTCAGGGTCGTCCCAGTGCATCTACAGATGGACAGTCAGTAGAACCGGAACTCGTCGACGCCCACGCACGAAGTGGTTAATGCCCAATAACATCTTGTAGTCCACGAAACCTCCACCGCGTTCTCTATCGTCATCCTGAACCGCCCAGAACGCCGTGATCGGGAAAGGGCAGGTAACATCGCCCGTCAAGAACCACACCTTCAGGTCCGCGAGCCGCGCACGCGCAGCGCGGTCGAAGCACGCTCTGCGGTACGTGACGAGAGCATGGGGCACAGTACTTGCCCTCGCAAGACCGAACACTCCAGGACTTCCTCGATGAACTCCCGCCGGTCCTCGCGGGACATGGTGTAGATCAACGGACGGCGGGACACGGAGGAGATGATGTGGGGGAGGACGTCCGTGCCGCGCGTTGAGAGGTCTCCGTGATCTTTCTCCGAGGCACCTACCCATACATCAGATGCCGTAGGGCCGAGCACAGGAATACCCATGGGTATCCCGAGCTCGACTTGTATCCTTGCCCGCCCGGGTACAGACCCGCAACCGCGGGTACGGGTTCCGCAGGAGCAAAGGTGAGTCCGGGGGTCCACGGGCAAGTGGGAGAGCGTAAGCCCGGGCGAGCGGGTCCACGAGCAAGTAGGTGCGCGGATGGGTGGGTGATCGCATGGGCAAGTAGCCGAGCAGGTGACCGAGCGAGTAGACGGGAGCACTACCGAGAGGGGGCACAATCGAGGGGCCGTAGGTGAGAGGGCAAGAATGCGAGACTGGGCGGGCAGGTCATCAGACGAGTGAGTTGACGAGAAAGCGAGGGAGAGCAAGCGAGCAGGCGGGCCCGTGAGCTAGGAAGAGGGCGAGAGCAGGCGACCAAGTGGGCGAGCGAGCGAGCACCTCGGCAGGCTAACTAGTTCTGCAGACGCAGACGCACCATATATACGCCTTCAGAGACCTTTGATACTGAGCACTGTCACGCGTGGCGAGGCCTACGGCGCTCAAGCATGGTGAACTGGAATCCCCTCCTCCTCCTCCTTCGTAGCGCGGCAACCGCGGGCGCTTCTGGCGCCGGTGAGTTTTGCTCGCGCGTTCAGTCGTCGGTATGACCTCATTGACGTCTTCATGGTGCTGATTGTGAGGCACAGAGTCCAAAAATGAGCCTTTCTAGTTCGTACGCCGAGTAGCTGGCCAGCGGTGAAAGGAGGAGACAGACACGGGACGCAACGTGACCGAGGCGCGTGGCGGCTTTTGCTGCGTAGCGCAAACAGGCACAAACGCCCAAACCGTACATACTGAGTTGATCTACGATCGTGGTCATCCAACTCGACCTCGCCCAACTGCTATCACTGCACTTCAACGCGAAATTTCCACGTGGAATAAGCGGGGGAGAGACGGTATATTCTGTACCTTACCTATTAATATCGCGCCCGACCGATGTCCTGCCTCTTTCCCTCTCTTTCCTCGATTGGAGCCTGATTTGGAGCCACCATGACGCGAGCTCGTGACGTATTACCACGACGCGTCGCGAGCATCGTGGCTTTCGCGCATACATCCACCTCATCGACATCCTTGATCCACAACTCCCACCTCCATGCAAAGTTGCAACCGTCGAGTCGCGTGTTCAAGGCCCCTTTACGGTATGCAATGCGGTGCAAGCCTAAGGCGTAGTAGTCCGAGTCAGGCGAATCATGCAGGCACGACTGGAGATCGAGTAGCTAGTGTGGCACTGCGGCGTGCGCACAGAAGACCTACAGGTGAGTGAGTATGGCTGGGGTCGAACGAGCTGCATTGCGATGCGCGCAGCGACGGACTGACCTGGGCTCGACTTGCAGGAGGTGGGCAGCCGCCGGCGGCGTCCGCGTTGGTCTGTTTTGGACAGTTGGTCCGAGTCGCGCGCTCGTCTTTGAGTTAAAACCGCCACTCTGTGAGCACGTCTGTGATCTCGATCGGAGGGAGGGACTTACCCGATGTAAGCATACGCCGCCACGGCACTGTCTCGCAAATGATGATCATCCGGAGTCCATGGCTCAACACAGCTGACAAACTCGGGAAAGCAGAAATTTCCTGTCTGCTCGTAAGTACTTCTGCTTTAATTGCCATCATTTGTGAGCTCAATATCAGCCTTCTACGGCATGCACATGGTGTCATACAGCCGCTCCTCGCGCAGGCCGGGGAGGAGAAGATGCGAATTCGCGAGAAAGCTTTACAGAAAAGGTACGTACAACTCCCAGGTTCGGAACATGTACATCGCTGACCATGATGCGGAAAGTGGTCTTCCGGCCCTACAGCACATTTCTGATACTGTAATTTTCGCTCCGACAGCTCCGAGTCTGTTGCCGCTGCAAATGGCATGGTCCCTGAGTCTGGTTTCGCACATGGGTAACAGAATGAAGTCAGCGGTACTAAAATAGGTGCGGCATTCTCGGAAACTAGCTTTGTGCGCACTCGACATGACGACTATGGGTCCAGCAGCGAGCCAGGTATGAGGCTGTGACATCGCCCTCTTGCTACTAGTAGTTTGCTTACTACCTGCTTGCTCGCACACTGCTCGCTCGCCCTCGTCACCTGCTCGCCTGCTCTCGTCGTCCTTCTCGCCCGCTCGTCCTCCGTCACCTCGCCGGCCTGCCTTCCTTTTCCCTCATACTAGCCAGCTCGCCCGCCTGCTTGCTCGCGCACTCGGCTTATTGTCCGACCGCTCGTTCACCCTCAGGCTCTCTTCCCCCCTCGCCTCTTGCCCGCTCGCCTTCCTGCCCGGCGCCGGCTCGTGCTTGCCCGCCTGTGCTCCCCCTCTAGCCAGCTCTCCCACATGCCTGCTCGTGCTCGTCTTTTTACCCACTTGCCCTTCTCGGCCGTCCACCCATCTTCCTGCGCGAGCTGCACTACCCGCACAACCCGCGTCGAACCGCGCAGCACCTGTACACAGGCAGGTACAGGTCTGGGTCGTGCATATCTAGGTCCTACATATACTGTTGCCTGGCAGCTCGCTAACGCGTTGATGGTTGGGCCTGTCCAATGTGTACATAGCATTATAAAATACATACCAACGAAGCTGAAGTGAAGCAAGAGACACGAGCTAGGGATGCGAGCGAGGATACCTGGCGGATTGGGTAGGGAAAGTGCCCAGAAATCAATCGGAAATGTCGCTTTTCCTGCACCTTTTCGTCCCATATCCTCCGAGGAAATACGGCGGGAAAGCGCAGGAAATCTTGCCTTTCCCACACATATCCTGTCAGAAAATTCCGCTTGACGCGCAGTGTATGTGAAATACAGGCAGTGACAATTCCATATCTAGGAGGCTAATGCTTTCGCATTTCCTGTTTCAGCGAAACGACGCACGTCACCCGGAGCTGTCAAACACCGCATTGCTAGAGTCTGCAATTACAACGACGCATCGAACGGCTGAACCGACCATGCCAATATGCCAGCCTGTGAGGTGAGTATCGGTGATACACTTTGCAGTAACGCACACGATCACCCAGTACAAAGGTTCATACTTAGCTTGCAAGGCGGAACACCACTACCACGTAGTATTGCAACATATGGAGTTATCGAAGATGCACCCGCTGCTGAATGTCTGGAACCTATTGCGGGATCGGCCATGGCACAACAGATCGTGCAGCATCCGAATTTGAAAGCTGATCAAGCGCTGACGAGCCTGAGCCAAGGACGTGTCGCTCTTTCCAACGTGCGTTCCGACCCTCTCTTCCCGCTTATCCCTGTGCTGTCTACGCTCTGCACGGTGTGATGCTGGCTGACTGCGGCTAGTCTCTCGCAAGCAGATCCTCTGAGTCTCGCTGAAGAGCGGTTCGGTACATGGGCTCCGGGGTCGGCGAACACGTCCGAATGCTTGACTCAGACGCGCTGAGGTGACCGACTCAGCTGAAAAGTGCTTAACTCACACTCTTATACGTCAGACTCCAGTACTAACATAATCGCGTAATGCAGACTCGCTGAACACCGCTGTTCGATATATCCGTTGTGAGTGACTCCGAACCCGCCCCACCTCAGACATCATCATGACAGTGATGTTCTTCTCATTTTTCATTGCGACCAATAGTCGCGTATGATGACCTGAGCCGGCAAGCTAAGCAAAAACGGGGATTTCCTTCATACCGAAAGCTCTGCGAGGAGGTTCGTTCCGCACCTGTGGCTTGCCTCGTTTGTAAGATGACCGTGCGGAGCACTGCTAACGACGTTTTCGGTCTTGTCTGCACAGATGACCTCGCAACACGGAGAAAACCCCGCGACGATTCTTGATTTACTCCTCTTGAAATGAGAGTGCGGGTGTCTAGTGAGTTGCGTCCCGCTCCAACATGGCGCATCACCTGGCGTACGACGCACAGTACACCGGTGCTGTGGGGACTCTCGGGCACTCGAGCGTGGCGATGGACGCATGGAGGTCAGGCATACCAATTGTGAATCAATCGATCCGCTTTGGACGGGCTGACCCACATACCACTGTAGCCTTCATTTAGGGCATTCCAAGCCTTGCATGGGCGAGATAGTGGGCTTATCTCGCATCGCTGGAACTGGTGCTACCGAAGTGGCCATCGCTCAGGTTGCCCATTCATCAGCCTATCCAATAGCAGATGAGCGGACAACCTGAGCGATGACCACCGTTCTGCTAGACTGCCACACGCAATGCGAATAGGGGAGGCGACGCAGTGCCGGTGTGTAGTTGCAACCACTTATACTCACCGAAGGCAGCTCGCTCAACCTCGTGACTAGATGAACGGTCTTTCCCACTCGCCGCGAGCACGCGCGATGTCGAACCCTTGGGAGGGACTTGGCCTGTGCGCGTGAGTACCGAGTACAGCTCAAGTCGACGACCGGGCTCAGGAAGCGGTTACTTCTTCCTCATGGAAAAAACATAGAATCCCGAATCGATGGGATTTGCGATGTGACGGTGTATCAATGTTTCTTGATCATCACTTCAGACCGGCGGAGCTCGGTGCGCCCATCGGCTGGATGTTCAATAACGTCAAATGCATCTTAAGCACGACAAGGCGTTGCCATGCTGGTATTTTACAAAGCGTCGGCCACCAGTCAGTGTCCGAATGGCCTGAGGGACGGGACACTTCGCACTTCAACGCTTCTGTTCCGAGCTCCGGTATATGCAACGGCCCGCATGCAACACTACGTCAACAGCCTACTCACCTATACACCGCCTGCGCGCTTCAAACACCTGAATGAGACCGTCCGATCAAATACGTTCGATCTCACCGGTACCAGCGACTTGAAAGCGGCGCGTGTTTAGTCACATACTTGAAGTGGTATCTGGAGTGGCTTACGGGGAGATTTAAGCAGGAACGGTCCGTGGTCCCCATCCCACATCGAGCTCTAGCTCTGCAACAATTGTGTTACAACCACACCCATACGATCGAATCCATGGTCGATACAGGGTCCCCCGGTCAGAACCAGTCGCAACCTATCGCGCACCAGGGCAGGACCTATCAGTCCTACCCAGGCTCGAACTATGTCCTGCCTTCCGACGCACCCGAGAGAGAGAGGTACGTGTCCGCGAATTCTCTGGCGAAACCACGCTGACGACATGCACAAGGCTCTCCCTTCAGCACCGATTGCTGAAAAGCGTGTTCGAGGACCGAGTGATCATCCCACCTGTCATTATATCGCCAGAAGACTCTGTGCTGGACAGTGGGACCGGCTCAGGTAAGGCGGTCAACAAGAGCGTTGTGTGTTCACACCTAACGATATACGCAGGTACTTGGTTGCTCGACGCGATCGAGTCGATACCTGCGTCCACCGCCGTACACGCCGTCGATATCGAGTCTCGCCTTTGGCCCGTGAACGACCCCCGCGTCGTCGCACGAGGGAACGTCGATTTCCACGTCGGAAGCATCACCTCCCTCCCGGAGGACTGGACCGCCCGTTTTAAGCTCGTCCACCAGAGGCTGCTCGTCGCGGCGCTGCGCTCGCCGGAGTGGGTTCAGGCGCTCAGAGAGATCTTCCGGGTGCTGCAGCCTGGCGGATGGGTGCAGCTCGGCGAGGTCGGGCCCTGGAAGGCGGGCCCGGCGACGGAGAGACATACCGCGCTGCTGCTGGCGCTCTTCCGCGACAAGGACCTCGTGCTCGACTGCGCCACACACATCCCTGATGTGCTCCGCGAGGTTGGTTTCACCGACGTTTTTGTCGAGGAGCGGACGATGCCGATGGGCCGCTGGGCGGGGCAGCCGGGGATCGACGCGCGGAACAACTTCCTTGGTGTGTTCAGGGGCATGAAGACTCCCATTCTCAATGGCGGAGGATATGGCTTTGTTGCTTCTGAGACGAAATTCGACGCCCTCCTCGACGAGGTGGAGAGGGAGATGGACGAGACCCCGGGAGCAGAGATCAAATTCTACATTATCTGTGCGCGCAAGCCTTCTCTTGTGCATGCGTCTCTTCTGTAATACTCCGGGCTCTCTATTTATTTCCATGTCCTATTGGAGAGAGTACATCAGTAGTTTTCCTGGCTGACTTCCACTCGATACTCGTGATGAGATGAAAGAACGACTTTGTCAACTTCGTAATATATGATCTTGTATATCAGTCACCGTTGTCTTTCGCAAGCGTAATCTGCGCAGGCCAGCACGCTCCTCTAGTAGGAACGCAAATACGCAAATACCCTCTGCATCAACATCAGCTGTCGAGACTCATGTTGTGCGCGTTGTTGAACAAGTCTATCGATTATGTTAATCGGTTGAAGCCTCCTAGGCTATGTAACCGATCAGAATACAGTGCAAACTTCGGTAACTCTTATAATGGAGACGAAACGTATCCTGCACCGGTCTTGTACATATTGATATGGCTGTCATGACTTCGTCGCAAACCTCCCCCACTTCGAAAGTCCAGCCCGGGCCTTCCCTTCGTCCACTGATTATATCGATGGTTGAGCCAATGAAGAAGATGAAGAGGACTTGTTGTGCGGCGCGTGCTGTATGAAAATGGAATGGAGGGTAGGGGAGACCAGAGCGCTTCGAAAGTTGGTACTTACCTAGATCAGTCTGCAGGAGGATCGAGCCAAACGAGGAACTGAGCGTGCGGCGTGCGCCGCCCTCTTCCGAGGGAGTGATGCGCGCCTAATCTCCTCCTGCGTACGTAGACTCACTTCTATGTACGTGACGCTCGTGCCTCGCTCTGCTTAGAGTATCATCTAAGCTCGCCTCGAGCTCAGGCTGAATGGGGCTGATGCTTTGCTCCGATATTCAATGGCCCAGCAGAACACCGATAGTGATCGGATTTTGAACGGCGGCCTTCTCACCGGCGTTCGGGAGTGGCTTCTGGAGTATGGACGTATTCCGATGCGTATGTTACCTCTTACTTCTCTCACGCGCAGGTTGGGCAGCTGTATTGACATGGTGAGAACGCATGACAATCCTGCGATCTATATGACTCTTGCCCACTCGCTATAAATCCAGACGTTACGCGGATGAATGCGTCGACGGATGCTTGATCGCACACAACGGTTGTCATGTCCGTCTCTGAGAAACGCACCCTTTATGACAAGATCTGGGACTCACATATCGTGTGCGCCTTTGATTCACTTGTACACTTTGCCTTCAAGTTGTTTGACACGTGTTGTCTCACAGAGAAACGCTTGAAGACGGGACGTCACTCTTGTATATTGATCGGTACGTCTTCATACTGCTCCATAGTCCGCTTGTTGGTGGCCTGACTGGCAGCGTTGAATGCAGTCACCTTGTTCACGAAGTAACAAGTCCGCAGGCGTTCGAAGGGTTGTGAGTTCTCTGGCATTTCATACTTGCGGGCTATGTGATACAAGCCTGTCCACCACGATCAGACGCC